GGAAGCAAAGACAGCCTACGAAGACGATACCCGTCAGTCCCCTGTCGGATGCCTTCCCGGGGCCTGCTCCATCGCCACGTGCATTGAAGTCGGACGCCTTGTTGACGAGACCGCGAGCGCAGTCCGAGTCGGTCAAAATGGTACGGGTGGCCTCGCCTGCTACCGAGATCGTATCTCAGTCACCGGGAGACAGCTGGATTGCTAATACCAACGATTCCAACTTTACTTTGACACTCCCCTTCCGCCCGGCCGCGTCAGCAGCGGCGCCCGCTACTTCGACAGCTTCAGCTAGAGGCAACATGAACTCCAGCGTCAGCCCGTCTCCTGGAACCGTTAAGTCACCGCTAGAGTTCCTTTTGGTAGACGATAATCCGATCAATCTCAAGGTTTGTTTATCTGTCGGGGACGATGCTAGTGCGTTCAGAGGCTAATGGTATCAGATTCTATCGGCATATATGAAGAGGCTGCAAAAACGGCATGCCACTGCTTCCAACGGCCTTGAGGCCCTGCAGACTTATACGTCTAATCCGCAGAGGTTCTGCTGTATTCTCATAGGTATGAGTCGATATGCGGGACGGTAGACGAAGGCAGTGACTAATAGTGCACAGATATAACAATGCCTGTAATGGATGGGCTTGAAGCTACAAGGCGCATCAGGAAGTTTGAACGGGCACACAACCTCCCACCCGTGACGATTATTGCCATCACGAGTTTGGGATCGGCCGGCGCTCGACAGGAGGGTTTCGCAAGCGGAATGGATTTATTCTTGACACGACCAGTGACCATGACAGAACTGGTCAAAATATTGAAACAGAGAAAACTAGTGGACGAGGCGGCGGAAAAAGAGGTCCTATCTTAGCTGGGAAAAGGGGGAACCTTAGGCGTTGTAGAATGGTGGCGTGACTTGCGCATTGGGGCGGTAGTATCGCTGTTGCATGGGTTTTCTTTTCTTGTTGCTTGGTCCAAGTCTCGCAAGGCGTTTGGGAGGTACACGATTTGATGGATTGGTCCTGCATAGGTCCTAGAAGCGCTCAAAAGGGGGAACATCTTTTTCACGGCCACTGGTACGAACAAGTTTGACGAGGGTCATGGCGCCGTTGGGAGGTATTATACTCGACGATTGGTACCGAGATAGTACAGGAATGCTCGGGACGCAGGTAGTCGAAATGAACAGTCGGCTCAGTGCAGTCGGTATGAATGTTTTAGGCCGTATCGTATAATCGAGTGACTCGTGAGCGTTTGCGGCGTCTGGGCGGCTCCGGGTGGACAACATCGCAGGATCGAGTTCGTGCGCAGTGGCGTAATTTTGATTGAGTTGATACTCAAGCACTAGAAGTAAAAGTATCGTTCTGGGATAAAATGATTATCAACCAGATAGCGCCCAATCGCCTTCACCTGAGAAGCGAAGGATTGTGTCAAGATCAGAATGGATTCTTCGAATATTCTTCGAGTATTCCTTCTAACACTCGCTAGGACTATGTTAGCCATCGGGAGGTCCCGATGGCTTTTTTTTTGACAGGTGGCTGTTTAATTATGAGAATAATTACTTGAGCGCACGGGAGAGATAAGAATAGGAACAGGGGGCAGAACATTGGTGATGTGGACGTGCGGGACCTCGGCTTTTGCCCGGCATGTTTAGGACTTTAGGGCCTTTGGGTTTGACTAGTTTGGATGCGATTCATTTCATTGCTATTCCAGTTTAATGGTCTTGGAAGCTTCATTGTACGAAATGAACAGCAGAGGAATGACGATATCAAGTGTTGGAGAAAGAGACGTGTGCCGAGTATCCTGTACAATTTTCCACATTGGAAGCATGGTTTCGGCCGACGTTCAAGAATCAACAGACTCAAGTTCGACAAAAGAATCGGGCCGAACGATTTCAAAAGTCTTTTTTCGCTTTTCCCGTTTGCCATGTTCGTCGCAATTCGAACCATCAATGGCAAGGGGAAGAGCGAAACCACTGATAAGGCTTCACTCGCCCGGGACACGGGTTGACCCCTACGCGTCCACGTTGGGTCTCTTCTGTTATCTTTGGTGGGTGTGGTCAGGGGGCGCATAATGAACGGTCGCTCCGGGATGCAGAGATAGCTATCCGCGGGCTCTTGTTCTGCGAGTCTGCATTCTGCAGTGGTTGCAGTGGTTCGTTATTGGACGTCCAGAGGCTGACTGATCAGCTCACCTCTGGACGAGTTGTTTCCTACCATACTTTCTTGCGATGTCAATCACCAACAAGTTTTCGCGATGTTTGCTGTGTTCATTCATGATCACCCTCCCTTCCGAAACCCAGATTTCCGCTTCCGAGAAGAGCCGTCTCTTATCAGAGAGACGAGTGGATTCGGGATCCAATTCCCCACTGCGATTGTATGTGTCAGCGGGGAGGGGGAAGGGGGTCCTTGTGGGCTGTGGACGAGCCCAATCTTGCGGGGTTGGATTTCCAGGTTGAGGAGCATTGCCGGTGTGGATGTTGGGAGACATCGTGAGGAAATCAAGGTGAACCTCCTAAGAAGTTAGGATCGAATGGACAGTAGCTTGCGTTTCGGGACTGGTCTTGGACTCGGGAGTCTGGTTGGACGACATTGGAACACTGGAGCCATGGCAATCTAAACCGTGTGCCCGGGTAGCCCGACCTGCGTTGTCCAGAAAGGGCATCGTTCTATCGCCGGGGGAGGCGTCGACTCGAAGGCATGGTTCGACAGCCAGCTGATAAGATTTTGGGGGTATTGAAGAGACGACGAGACGACAGCCAACGCGGTAAGGGTTGTGATAGGACCAGATAGTGAGTGGCACGACACCCTCTCCCCATCTTCTCACTGCTGGCGTTCTTCTGTGGACGCGATATGCATGAGCACCGCTGTACCACGTAAACACGTCCATCTCCAGCGCGCTCCCTCAGCCCAAGCATCCATTGAACGCCGCCAAGCCCGTTTCCCCAAAGTGATCGACCCTTTCGTTCTGTTGCAGCGAGTGTTCCATTGCAGCCAACGCTTTCAATGGGCTTACCCAGGAGAAGCCTAGAAGGAGGGGGGAAGAGGTGCATGATAGGGTGGGCAATGACATCACGAGGCTACACGAGCTGGAGAAACAAGCCTTTTTGGCGAGGTGACCATCTTCTCGCCTTGTGGTTTACCGCGCTGTAGGCTGTGGTTTCCCTGTAACCGATCAATTCCTGGGGAAAGACGGACTGCTTGGAACGTGGAAGATGGGGTTTCGACTCCTTCTAGGACGCCAACACCGCGGTCCCGATAGGAGAAGTGTTTAACCCCCTCTATGCTTCCCCCGAATTACCCGAGATCTAGTCACAATGGTCATTCGTGAGCAGTAGCAGTCGGTTATCTTCATCCTCAAAATGAAGTAAACAAGAGGCTCACTACTACTAAGCCATAGACCATAGATAGAGACGACGAAGTCACTGATACACAGAGTCTACACACCGCGGTTAAACATGATTCAGCATCCCAGCCATCAGGCAAGGCGAGACTACCAGAAATGGGTGTGTCATGGTGCTGTCTGGGTTAACGTCCTGATACGCACGAACCAACGAACCAAGCGGCGCCCCGAAGTGGTGGTGCCCGTCTGGGTGGTTGTGGTGGTGGTGGTGGCTTGACACGCACACGCTCACCACGCCCCAGGGACGCCTGAACTGGCCTGTCATCGTAATCAATCATCAAAGGCCGCCCCCGAAGCTGCCAGCCTGCCAAAGATAATCGCGGTCCCGGAGGTGGGTGGTCCCCTGGTCCAGGTTCTCCCTCCTCGAGGCTCGTTACCGGCTGGCTGCACCCAAAACCGCCCCCGTCTGTCAAGGCGCCACAATCGGGTTTCCCACTTTAGATGGTGGATACGTAGATAAAGACGATCATTTGATTGAAGCATCATTTCATGCCATTGTCAGATTTGGGAACCAGCGGTTCAAGTGTCGTCGAAGACTCTAAATGTTGCCTCAACCATTAACCAGACGTAATCACAGATTTGAACATCGCGAATAGCCCAGACAACTCGGCTTCAGCCCAAGAGGCTTGGGCAAGCTGAGAGATCCACTGATCGTGAGCTGTGCATCTCGGCCAGTTTCCACTTTCTCTCCTCACTTCCGTCAGGTCCTTGCGGGGCGTGGGGGAAAAAAGAGGAGGCCCGAGGCGGACAATTCGTTCGTCTGTCTTTCAGACTCTCTCTCGGCTTTCCTCCTGGCAGCCTGGCAATTGTCAAATAGAAGAGGAGCAAAAGATTAGCGCATCGTCTTGAACGAGAGAGCTCCATGCCCAAGGCCGGGGGTCCCCCCTCGCCCCTTCTATCCTACCACCCCCCGGCCGCAGCCAGGCCCTCCCGTCCGTTTCTTGTCGCATTGGACGTAGCCGCGCTTCTGTGTCATTTGAATGTGTGTGTGTGACTCGCCCCGTCCCCGTAGATGGTACTGGGCCGGGCTTGCTTGCTTCAAGCTTGACTGCCGGATAGACTAGTCTAGTCTGTACCCTGGACCGAGACCACTCTTCTTGCGTGTGTTGAACGTGGTTTAGTTCTAGTCCCGTACGAAAAAGCTGATGGAGACATTGGAGAGAAAGTCTGGGCTACTAAAGAATGGCTTAGTCCCCTTTTTCTTACCACACACCTCGGTTCCCATGTAACGCACGCGGTCTTTTTTCTTCACTGCCAAAAAGACGCGGTCCCTTACCCTTTCTTCGTGGAGTGCGTGTGTGTCTGTGCCAACATTTTCAACATTTCCATTACGTTCATTTAATACTCCTGCTCCTCATTGCCGCATCTCCAGACTCCTCCCCCGCAAACTCGTCCGTCTACCCCGTCTCCCCCCGGCGAGAAACGTTACCGAGCGAGGCTGTCCGAATCCGGGGTTCTACAACGACCAACAAAGAATTGAGTCATCTACATACCAAAATCGACGACCTACCGGTTCGATTGAGTTGTCCACCACTTGTGGACTGACAACCACACGATACCCTCAACCACAACACTCATAACCTCACAATCACCAACGACTAGAGACCGCAAACATGGAAGCGGCTCCCCGCGTCTCCGCCGACCAGGCCCTCGCCAGGCTGGGCTACAAGGCCGAGCTCCCGCGCAACTTGTCCATGATGTCCATCCTCGGCCTCTCCTTCGCCATCATGGCCGTCCCCTTCGGCCTCAGCACCACAATGTACATCACCCTGACCAACGGCCAGGCCGTCACCGTCCTCTGGGGCTGGGTCCTCGTCTCCATCATCTCCCTCTGCATCGCCGCCTCCCTCGCCGAGATCTGCGCCGTCTACCCGACCGCCGGCGGCGTCTACTACTGGTCCGCCATGCTCGCGCCCGCCGGCTGGGCGCCGCTCGTCAGCTTCGTCGACGGGTGGCTTACCCTCGTTGGAAACTGGACTGTTACACTGAGTATCAACTTTAGCGGTGCGCAGTTGATTCTCAGCGCGATTAGTGTTTTCAACGAAGACTTTGTCGCGAATACGTGGCAGACTGTGCTTTGCTTCTGGGCTGTCATGTTGGTTTGCGCTGGAGTGAATGCTTTTGGATCGCGGTACCTGGATCTGATCAACAAGGTGAGTTTGGCATGCTTTGAGAAATTCGTCTTGGAATAGGGGTGCTAACGAATGTTTTCACAGGTCTGCATCTACTGGACTGGTGCCTCCGTTCTCATCATCATGATCACTATCCTGGTCATGGCCCCCAGCAAGAGATCTGCCGAGTTTGTCTTCACCCACTACGACGCTTCTGCCAGTGGATGGGCTCCCGGCTGGTCATTCTTCGTCGGTCTGCTCCAAGGTATGTCCGCCAACGTCCTCCACTCACTAATACAGCCCAATTGACCCTTCTCTCAGCCGCCTACACCCTCACCGGCTACGGCATGGTCGCCTCCATGTGCGAGGAAGTCCAGAACCCCGAACGCGAAGTCCCCCGCGCCATCGTCCTCTCCGTCGCCGCCGCCGGCGTCACCGGTGTCATCTACCTCATCCCCATCCTCTTCGTCCTCCCCGACGTCACCATGCTCCTCGAGGTCGCAAACTCCCAGCCCATCGGCCTCCTCTTCAAGACCGTCACCGGCTCCGCCGCCGGCGGCTTTGGCCTCCTCTTCCTCATCCTCGGCATCCTCATGTTCGCCGGCATCGGCGCCCTGACCGCCGCCTCCCGCTGCACTTACGCTTTCGCCCGCGACGGCGCCATCCCCGGCTACAAGCTTTGGAGCCGCGTCAACCACAAGCTCGACATGCCCCTCTGGGCCCTCGGTCTGTCTACGGGTGTCGACATGATCCTCGGCTGCATCTACTTTGGCTCCAGCGCCGCCTTCAACTCCTTCACCGGTGTCGCCACCATCTGCCTGTCCACCAGCTACGGTGTGCCCGTTCTCGTGAACCTCATCCAGCGCCGCCGTGCCGTCGCTAACTCACCCTACCCGCTCGGCAAGTTCGGCACTGCAATCAACTGCATCTGCATCGTCTGGATCTGCTTCGCCGTCATCATCTTCTGCATGCCCGTCAGCTTGCCCGTCGACGCCTCGACCATGAACTACGCCTCTGTTGTCTTTGCCGGTTTCGCCTTCATTGCCATTACGTGGTACTTTGCCTACGCGAGAAAGAACTTCCACGGACCCCCGGTTGCCAAGGAGGAGTTCCAGCCTGGGCCGGAGGGCACGCTGGAGGGAAAGATTCCGGGAAACGTTGACTCGGAGACGACGGCGAGTACGGAAAAGAAATGATCCTTTTTGGCATTCTTTGTTTTTGAGATTTGAGTAGAAGCTGATTGGTTTGTGGGATCAGTCGCGTGTACGTAGAAGTTGATTTGCCTTTTATTATGATACCAATTTGGGGTGGCTCTCACACATCCTGACAATCATTCATCCATTGAAAACACTTTATTTTGTGTTGTCCCCAATAATTCGTCTCTTAAGATGTGAGCGTGGCACTTGGTTGAACTATGATTTATGAGTCTACGTGATTATGCTCCTGATGTAACCAAAGTGAACCACTTCGAGCATGTAAACCGGACAGGACGCTTCGTATCAGGAGACCTTTGACAGATTTTCGAACCATATGGTTCGGCACATCGTAAATACCGCCTTCGTGATCCCGTCAAGTAGCCGTTGTATCGCCGAGAGAGACTTGTTCGGGCTTTTTCTAAGGAAACCTGTTCTCGCTCTGTGACCTAGATACGCGTGGTTCTATCAGAGGGATCATTCCCATCAACACGACTTCAGAACGCTGGTCATCTCTGTATTGTTATAGAGAGCTTTGAAAGCTGCTTGGTCCGAGCAAGGTATTCAGTGTTAGGCTCGCCACACCTGGGATATTTGAAAGCCCTCTATGAAAGACCCGAGCTTTCCATCAATAGCATAACCTTCGGCTTCTAGTCTCCTACATTCGACGTAAAGGCTAGTCAAGGGCAGTGAGAAAGACTCGATGAACTCTCCTTCTTCCAAGCGCGGCTTGGGGTTGAGATTCTCCTCTGCTTGCATGTCTATGTCAACATGGACCATGACAGAGCAGGAACTAGATAGAGTCAACATATGAGGGCTAGTTGAAGGCAGGGACTGAGCGTGACACACTTGGAGAAACCAGGGGCTTGGGAAATGTTAGCGCTGGACGTCTTCAACGTATATCAGTTTGCAAACTGGTCACTTACCGCCGAAAAGCTTTGGGCTGTTCCCATACGAATCCGACTTGATGGTACCGACGTAGCCTGTCTCTTCTGCGAGTTCGCGGATCGCGCACTGTTCGACGGTTTCGCCTTTATCAAGCAGTCCAGCGGGAAGTTCAATGCAGAGCTTGCCCACAGCCGGGCGGAACTGTCGCTGGAGCAGGAGCTCTGGGCCGGTTTCTTTCTTTAACACGGCAACGATGTGGACCGCGTCGACTGAGCTGCCTGCGGCGCGTGTCTTCCTTTCTACTCCTTCCCAGATGCGGTCTTTACCATCCACGTTTCTGTACCCGATTCTAAACGTCCGGTCAGGTCCATTCAACAGAATAGTGTGGGACCATCTAAGATGCTCATCTGAGGGGGTACCAACTTCACCAATGTCATCCATTTGGCATCTCCAATCTCCTGCGTGTTCAATCACGCATCAGCCGTGCTGGTTGAATCAACGCATCATTTCAACTTCTTGCAGCTTACCAGTGGCTCAGATGAAACAACATGAGGCTTCATTTTGCCCTCCATATTAAGCACGTAACTGATTTGACGTATGCAAACCTAGATTGGTTGAAGGTTCCGATGTTGTCTCTTTTCCTATTCACGCTGTTCAAGTACTATGGAGGGGTAAAAATTGGTGGGGTGGAGGGGCAATCGAAAAGTGCGGGGTTGCATCTTCAGTTACAGGAACGAGGCGCGTTTAATTGATTCTGGCCTAGGGATGCGAATTGCTGGAGTTCGGGAAGCTGGAATCCTTCAATTCTGTCCCTATTCGGCTTCATCCAGACTTTGGTTACAGCACTGTCTTTCCCAGATCTACCTCTAATTATGGTGGAACATTAGTCCTCTGGACGCCATCGGAAAGGATTATTCTCTTGAAGATGCCAAACGTAGCCCTGAGCCGCAAGACTCAAGATGCGGTACTCATCTTCGCCCATCTCCTTGCACTCAGCCCCAGACAGACTTGTCACAGCCATGATTCTAAGCGGCGCAAGACTCTGCTCTCCCCGCTGCTTCGGGTCGGTCTTGCGCCGCAACATATCCAATGCTTCCTCCCATGTACCCTGAACCATCTCAACAGAGCTGAGGCTGAGCTCCATCTCTCGATCTCCAAGAAAAACGCCCAAGTCCTGAGAGCTGAGACGCACATTCGAAAGTGTGAGCCGGCTCAGGTTCGGCCATGGTCGCGTTCGGACAAACCAGTTGAAATGCCACGATTTTTGCGGTCCGATTTCGATTGTGTCTGCGTCGTGGCTGAACTCCTCCAAGTCGATCGAAATGCGCTCTAGACTGTCCGTCATGGTAAGAACACTAAGAAGCTTCCCACAACCTTCAAAGCCAGCCGCGTCGTGAAAATTCGACCAGGTGACCTGGGGTCTTCTGGAAGGGCCTTCGCTGAGCATGTATTTGCTAGTGAAGTCGAAGCACCGGAGTCGCTCAGTAACCCAAGTGTATTCGTCTACTGTCGGCTCATCCTCCACCGTCTCAAATGCATCCCAGAAGTGCATCGGGGTGACTCGAACAGCAAATCGTGTCAGGAAAACGCCAGTCGCCCCGAGAATGCCTGGGATGAATCCGAACGGTCGTCGAGCGCTCATGAGATCATCTTCAAGTTCGGCAACCGCTGTCGCTGCGTGCTCCCATCGGTGAGGAGTTATGAGGAACTGGTAAAGTTCGGCGTCGTTGACGAGGGCGTCTCCTTCAGGCGGAGTCCACCGCGGTTCAAACGAATCGCTCATCTCCAGTCTCGTCGCGTTCGGCATTCGCTTCATTGCGAATGATACAGTATCGGAAAAGCTGTGCCATCTGTCGTCGTGAAGGTGCTTTTGTTCGGCCTCAAGGCGGGCGTATTCATCGTATGCTTTCCCAATGAGTCCTTCGTGGAATGCATTCGAAAGCTCCTCATCCCAAGGCTGATTGTTGGTGAGCCTATCCAAAAGATCAAAGATCGCCTGAAGCTTTTCTTTTGCTCCGTCAGACAGCATGTCCTTATGCGTCATCCCATGCCAGAGTTCCCGCCGGAACAAGTTCTGGAGCTCGTGCTTCGCCAAGAGAATAAAATTTTCTCGTGCGTATGCCGCGAGTCCATCGTAGAAGCCCAGCGGGATGCGGATGCAGCGCACGCCTCGCCCGATGGTCGCATGCCGGGAAATCGCATTCAGACGATCGAGGGATTTCCGTGTGACGTGTACCGTAATGGTAGGAACCAAGTAGGGGGATGCTGCTTCGCAGAGACGGCGACAAGTCAGTCGAAGGGACTGGAGAGTTTCGATGTCTACTTTTCGCCGGTTGTGTGGTTGCGCCCAGGTGAAATCGCTTTCCTGTGCCGAGACGGTGTCGACGTGAGAACAGATCTGATCTAGGAGCTCGAAGGGCAAGTTAAGAAGCCTGCTCTCCATCGGGTTAAGAATGCCGTGAACGTGCGCTCGAAGGGCAAACCCATGTTCGATTAGATCCGAGTAAGCGCCGAGCTCATTTGGGTTTGCCTTCTTCCTTGCTTTCCAGTCTTCCAGGCTAAGTTCTGGGTGGTGGTTGATGATTTCCTTGAAGGTCGGATCGACCTCTATCAACCGCCGGTAAATTGCAGTGAGCTCTTGGCTTGGGTTCTTGTTCGTCTTTTCCTTCTCGGTCCTATTGATGGCTGCGGAAACATTCCGCATATCAAACGTGGATGGCGCCATTCTCAGGCATTCTACGTTGCCTACGTTGCCTGCGGAAGTTTCTCCTCGCCTTTGGAAGAGCGAAACGGGAGGTCACCTGAGTTTCAAGGGCCAAGATAACCCTATTTGGGGCAATGGTCTCGACAACTTGGATGTCTTTGGAGTTGTGAACAAGGAACAGCAATCTGAGTTTGGGCAGGACGGGACCATGTCGCGTCTTTGACGCGTGACGTCATGTGCATTCACTATTACTGTGCCATTTTGTGAGCGAGGTTCTCGCCAGGAAGCGATATGATAACCTCTAGAAGTCGGTCCTCGAAATGTAGACTATCCGAGATGGTGAACCCACAGACGAATACTTGGTTCGAGGGAATTTATTCACGCAGCCTTAGCGAAGAGCAGCTGCAAGGAAGAGATTGAGGTCTGCAAGATAAGGGGGCGATTAGGGTCGCTCTCCCGTTTACGTTATCAGTCAATGATCGACACATCATGTAAGTCAGATAGGTAGTTTCGAAGACAAGACTCAGTGGTCTTTGATTTTTATAAACTGATTTGTCAAAAAAATATTTACAGAGAAGGCAGCAGGAGAAGGCAAGGTCTTCTCAATATCCCGATCCTCAACCTCTCCATCCCTGAATATCGTCAAGAGTGAGGACATACTCGCTCTCGTAGATCTATAAGTTCAGATGTTAGTACCACAGGCCTAAAATGGCGCAGACGGGGGTTCGGCATGCTACGTACCTTCTTCAAGTCATCAAGGCTGTTCCATTCGGTGTTGTTGATGAAGCCATCGCTCCAGACACAGAAGTACAGCCAGTGGGCCTCGTACGCCTGAAGAAGATCGGGGAAGGGAGCGCTGCCGACCTCGGTAGCCGCAATGAGCTTCTTGTCCTGACCGAGCGTGATGAGGTCGTTATATTGAGTGGTCATGGGCTGCGGTCATGTTAACGACGGATTCTGCATAACGAAAGAGAATGGAAAAGAGCTTACGCCGTGGCCTTGAGCGTATACATCCGCGCTGAGAACGTCGACGGTATCATCGCCGGGGTACCAGTCCGCAGCAACCGAATTCCAGATCCAGACGAGGTTGTTCAGCTCATGGTGGTTGGTGAGGCGGTCGTAGACCAGAGCCCAGAGCTTCTTGCACGCCTCGGGGCCCTTAGCTCCCCACCAGAACCACGCACCCTCGGCCTCGTGAAGCGGGCGCCAGAGAACGGGAACTCCGGCATCCTGGAGCTTCTTGAGCTGGACGGCGATGGCGTCGATGTCGCGGATTATGAGGGTGTAGTTGGCGTTGGTGGTGTCAGCAAGGGCAGTCGAGACATCAAAGTCGGTGGCGCGAGTGTAGAAACCGCTCCACCACTTGTTCTCCTCAGTGTCGTACAGGCCGGTAGGTGCGTTCCAGTGCCAGAGCACGGAAACGATACCACCGCGCTCATGGTGTATGATGGCCTCCTCGACGGCGGTACCGACGGTTCCGCGCTCGACGCGGCTGGGGGAGTAGTCCATCAGGTCGACGCTGACGAGAGCAGGCGACTTGCCGATGGTCTCGTTGACCCAGTTCGCGTAGTTGAGTTCCTGCTGACCGGAGAGGATGTTCTTGCCGTAGATGGAGCGGATGTAGGTGTACAGGGCATTGGCATCAGCGTTGGCCTTCGCGTTGACCAGAGCCGTATTGACGTTGTGAGGTCCGCGGGCTTCGGTGGGCGTGAGGGTGACGGAGTCGATGAGGTACCATCCCCAGTGTGTTACGATGTCGAGCGTGTTGTTGCCCTCATTGAGCAGCACCTGGCCGGCGGAAACGTTGGCCCAGGTCTCGGTCGCGGCCAAGAGCACCTCGCTAGCAGCACCGCCGTTGAGGATGACATTCGTGCGCTTCTCGCCGTAGATACCGGCATATCTGATGTTGAGGTCGAATAGCTTCTGGCCTTCACCCTGACAGTCCAGGTTGATGGTGACCTTGTCGGTGGCATCCTCGAAGCCGGTGACGTAGCCGGTACCTGTGAACCACCAAAAGTCAATAAACGGTGCGATCAGTGTTAAAGGATAACCGTGCCATACCTGTGAACCCAGCTTGCTCAGTCGCGACGGTGGTTCCGTTGAGAACTCCATTTTCGGCCTCGTAGACCCTGGCTCCGGTGCTGCCGATGCAGTTCTGCGAATACACGCCAGCGGCAAACGCAAGGACGGCACGGAGTGAAAGCGCCGTGGATCTCGCCATAATTTCACGGAAGATCAACGCGGGGATGTTACAAGAAAAGGAAGAGAATCGAAAAGATCGGCTGAAGCGGCATCGTCTCAAGGAACCAGAGGAATGACCCCGCCGGTGGGATATCAGTGTTTATTATAAACGACAGTCAGGCGGCTCTCCTTTCGTCCTCAATCGTCCCCCTCATTGTGTCAATCTCGCCGTATGCCGTAGGGGGCTCATGGGGGAAGGGTATGGCGATCATTAAGATTCCAGGGGTGACGGAGGTTAATTTTGCGTCTCCATAATCCATCCCGTCTCTCTTGATTGAGCATGTTTGCCGGGGCCTCAAGGCATCGAACCGGGATGACGGAAGGGGGCTTGGCCTTCATGAATTTGAAGACGGAGTTTGACGCTCCGTGTGCTGCAAAAAGGAGAGCCACCCCCCGCGACTCGGCACTTGCTGGGCTCAGATGCCAGATGACAGAAGACAAACCCATTTGCAGAGCCATATTGCACAAGTTGGGGCATCAATCCACGCAGAGCCATCACTGTTTCCTTCCTCTCGCACCTTCGCCGTCCGAAGTGTTATTTGGGCACATTTCACGGGCTGTTCATCCAAACTTGACAGTTCCTTTTTCATGATGGGGCCCTGTCGATCACACAGCCGATGGTCCGCCGCCAAGGGTTTTACATAAACATGCTTTGGCCCGGTTCGACGATCCACTTCGGCCTCACTTAGATTCGAAAATTTTGGTGCCCTGAGTCTAGGGTCTCGAGAGTATCATGCCCCGTCTACATGATCCCACCGACGAAATCGTCACATCAACAACCAGCAGTTGTTTTCAACTGCCCGGCTAGCTCAATCGGTAGAGCGTGAGACTCTTAATCTCAAGGTTGTGGGTTCGACCCGTAAGCTTTATTCCACGATCCTCAGCATCAGCATAACAACTAACAATCATCAGCCACGTCGGGCTCAATTCCCGTCAGCGATTGACATCATCTTTTTGCTCTTCGATCAGCGATTCAATAGTCAAACGCTCGCATCCTGGGTACCCTTTCAGTTGCAAACTTTAGGGTCTTGAATGTCGCTCTGCTGCTAGTGAATTTGGTTGCTCGTCTCGCCTAGATTATGAGTCTTACTCAGAACATCTCAGCCCCCTTTATGTTCAAAGCCAGTTTCCGGGTTCAAGCCTCCGTACGCTTTCGCACCTCAACCTCGGCCCCGAAATTCGGCTGCACGATCATTTTGTTGATCTGATTCGGTGGCCTCTCCGTCGTCTTGCCGGCATTACCTTTTAAATGAATATCATAGTTCATCAACAACTCAATGAATATGCACTTGATCACATAGACAGCGAAGAAGCGCCCCGGGCATGCGTGCGGGCCATGCCCAAAGTTGAACGCATCTGGCCCCGTAGTCGCAGCTTGATGCTTCATCTCACGACCCGGTTGATCTCGTAGACGTGCGAAACGGAAACCGTCGAATTCGCTTGGTGGTGCATTGCCGGTCTCGGCATTGTACTCTGGGCTGAAGGTCTTCGTTGTGGTAGAGTTGCTAGGAGTGTGTGAGCCTCAATCTAATTTCAACATTTTCCTAGGCTCTGGCATCGAAGCCTCGAGGCTCGCGACTTACTATACAGCCCACAAGGGAAAGGAGATGGCTGCTCCGGCTGGCAACTTCATGCCATTTGAAAAGGTCTGATCTTTGCGAAGCCTTCTGGATGTGCCGGCTTTTCCGCAAGGTGAGTTTTGAGCTTGGATGATACTAGAAGGGGAGTAACGTACCAAAGCTCAGTGGACTTGTGCGCTGACTTTCCTTGATGAAGCTGTCGAGCTTCTTCAATTTGCCCACCGAAGACTTTGACAAAAACACTTGCCCAGCTTCGTCTTTCTCCACACCATCTTCCTTGATGACTTCTGCAATTTCCTCACGCAGAGGCTGGATGTATTCGGGGCGGCCGAGCAAATCGTGAAGAGCCTGAAATGCGTCAGCTCAAACTTTGGACCGGTCAGCATGTAATCCAAGTTCATACCAGAGTGGTCGTGCCGGAAGTTGTGTGAATAGCAGCAAAAGAAAGCAACATCTGGTTGGTTCCCATTGTCTCTGGAGTCTTTTCCTCGGGCGTCAGATACTTCATCATCCACGATACGAAAGCCCCAGGAGCGCCTGGTTTCGCCGGTTTTTCTTCAGGCAAGCTCTCACTTCGGAGAACTTCCTTCACCAAAGGCCGCATCTGCTCATTTGCTTTTTGAAGTGCTCGTCGCGTATGGCGTACCTCGGGAAGAAACGGGAGGACAAAAGGCCTGATCCAAGGGTTCCATCGCAGAGCAGCCATGCGACTTTTCCCCACGTCCGTAGCGAAGGTAATCGAAGCCCGGATCCAGTCCTCCTCGCGACTCAAGGGCATGCCAACGAAAACCCGGCCACTCATCAACCCGATCATGCGGAGAACCAGATGGTAGCTATTGAGCGTTTTCCACTCTGCCGAATCCCCAATTAGCTGATTCAGGCCGAATTTAGCCTCCTCCTGAATTGGCCGGAGAACACCAGACATATTCCTCGTCAAGTCGATCCGTACGGCCTCGATTACTTCCCATCGACTCTCGCCAACGTGAGTGTAACGACCGAGGAAGATATCATAAATCTCAGCAGCAAAGGACATCTCGGAGTCCGGTGCTTGGATAACCTCTTGGTATAGGTTCATCGGAAGCATGACCCGTGGGGGGTCGCTTGGAACCACGAACGCCGTGTCTGGATACTGTCATTTGGATGTCGGTTAATTGACGGTTTAGTAGGCAGTATCAGAAGCCTGGTCTAACTACCTTTTGATAGCCATCGATAATAGCGGAGGACAGGCTCTGTTCATTAGGAGATCCTACGAGTGGAAGTCCGTAATTCGGCTTTATCTTCTTGCGCAGTCGATCCACTGCGATGATCACAGCCGCCAGAGCGACTGGTGCCCATAGTAGCCACAGCATATTACAGATGCTCTAAGGAGAACGAACACACTGATGATGGAGATCGACGAGATCGATAAACATACAAATTTCAACTTGCGGAGCAGTCGGATCTTTGTACTCTGTACGACCCCAGCTGAACCCTGAACGTCGCACTCTGTCACACAGTCCGAACGGACTACGGATTCCACGAACGCCTTCTCCGCGTTCCCCACGTGTCTTCAGGGCCCTTTATCCCTCTCGTTTTCGCAAACCTTAGCGGTGACGTACAATCAGGGAGTGAAAATTCGCCGACGGAGGCGGAGGAAAGCTTACTGAGGGACCCTGCCACGCTGCCACCTAGGATCCTTCGCGTGCGAAATGCTGACCGTATTCGGCAGATCGTATCAGCGCTAGAGCCACTAGGGTGCCGCGAGGGCGTAAGCAACCTATTTTTCGCGTACAAGGAAAAAGGAACCATAGTGGTAGTGGAACCTGTTGACTATCAAATCATTTTTCAAGTGAAGATAAGCTGCTGACATACGCGTTCTATGTTTCATGGGATTCTCTCGTCAAGCTAGCGGTCAGACGATTGGCCGCTGGGCTGCATATAACTCGTCGATTTGGCTGATAGGATGCCCGCTAAGATGCTGACACCTGTAAGGATTGTCTTCTAGCTTGTGTGACGATCAACCTGGCGAGGATGAATTGGTCGGCGCCGTTGGGAGGATTGGACGGATCATGGGACGCTTGCTGGCAAAACTTTGACATCGGTTATCACTCCGGAACCATCGACATAAAACGACAAGTGGGGCATTGAATCCTCCGTGACATACAGCTGGGATGACGAACACCCTGGTGACTGACAATACTTCTGCTTCTGATGTTTCATTCAGTGGGATATCGTACACGTCGTTTCGAGTAGGTACTTTATGTGGATGATCGGACCCTCCGCTGTAGGTACCTACTCTCAGAAGTAAGATATTGTTCCAACAAAGGTACAATTGCAGTGATTCTAGCATATGAATTGTCTCTTCACATAACAACAAAGATATGTATTGTCAAGACTATCGCTTACAGAGAGAAGTTCCAAGAGCAATAAGGTAATCTAGCTCATGATGAATATCTACAGGCGACGCAGGGATAAGATGTTGAGCTCTTATGCCCTCATTCGTATGATTCCATGCTTCAACTACAGCGACCGAATAGAAAACCGATTTACGATGATTAAAAGTAATGAAAGGGTGTATACGGCCCAGTGCTGTTATGGTCTAGTTTCAAAGTTTCATGATGTGTTCGGTCTGAACATCCTGATGTTGCAAGATGGAGAGTGCCGAATAGGAACAGAAAGGTATGAGAGAGTCCGAGGTTCTCTAACCAGAATAGATTCGATTCTGCTCAATTAGACCCAGCAATATGAGTGTCAGCGACTAGCAGATTACCCGCCAGCTCGTGTGAATGAGCCCTTCCATCAAAGTTGGAGAGTCTGACGCTCTGGCGTAGGTAGGCAGCCATCTGATAGAGTGATTAAGGCAATCAGAAACAAATAACGGTAATACCACCAGAGGAGCTTTATGTAATTGAAATAGACTTCAGTGAATGACTATCCTTGAGCCCTGCGGGTTAACGGTTCGATAGCCCGATATCCCGAATCAATGAGTATCAAAGATCACGTGCACAACCCTCCATGGCCAGTAAGTAATGCTTCTGAAACAATAAATCTTCTTGCCGTTGCGTTGCAGGCTCAACATGGGAATTCAAAAAGGCCAGTTGTCCAAGGGCGAGCGGGCCGGCACGTGGCTCCGTATTGGGATTTCGGAAGGGAAGCCGTCGGTTCCAATCAGGGATCTTGGCCTCGCTCGGCAATTCGACCATTTTGCTATCTTCCGACAAATCAGATCTTAGCCACTAGCCAGGGACGGCAGCCGAGATTCAAAGGTTGGCTGGTCTGTAATCTATTTCTCACATTTCACCATCGCATATTCCATTGAGTCTGGCGCTTTGCCCTGGATCGTGCGTCGATCCTCTCTCAAATAGGCTTCTCGGACGGAGGACTGTGTTCACAGTCCTTTGGTAACGCCTAATCGTCGCATTCTAGCGAGGCGCCCTTGGTTCCGTTCTTGACATGGCGATATCTGTTCCGGTATGGGGAAGATGCTGCCATATGATATATCATATGTAGTTGATATACCAACTCTAGAGCTATAAGAAGCAGCAACTTTGCTACACGGAGAGAATGTTGCGAACTGATTGATATCCCCACAAGCAAACCCGCCGGTCGAGTAGCTGCCAATTTGGTCAATCGTCAAAATGCATTTTGCTTCGCTCCTCACTCTTCTTTCCACCCTGGGAGCAGTATCGGCATCACCTCGCTTTGGTACCAGAGGGCATCACTTCCGCCGTGCAGGCACCGGCAATGACACAACAAACCCCTTCGACGGGAAGAAGCTTTACGCCAACCCAGACTGGGCAGATAAGCTTGAACAGACTCACGACGCCTTCGTGGCCAAGGGAGATACCGTGAACGCAGGCAAGGTCCGAACCATCCAGGATATTGGTACATTTGTCTGGATTGCGGACGTTTCTGGTCTGGCGAACATTGACACGGCTATTGAGCGAGCCCGTGCCGTTCAATCCAAGACGGGCGAGCAGCGAATTGTTGGTCTGGTGCTATACGACCTCCCTGACAGAGATTGCAGCGCAGGAGAGAGTGCCGGCGAATTCAGCAGCGAGAACAACGGGCTTGAGTTGTACAAGGAGACTTTCATCAAGCCGTACGCAGAGAAGCTGGCTGCAGCTAGTGACTTGACCTTCGCCGTTGTTCTCGAGCCGGATTCCTTGGCGAACCTTGTAACGAACTTGGGGATCGAGTTTTGTGCTAAGGCGCAACCGGTGTACGAGGATGGCATTGCGTATGCTATTTCAAGCTTGCAGTATGACCACGTCAACCTCTACATCGATGCTGCTCACGGTGGGTGGCTAGGTTGGAACGATAACCTAGAGCCTTGTAAGTCTCGTGATCGACGAAGACTCACTTCGAGACTACATGAAATACTAACAGTGATCATAGCCGCAAAGCTCTTCGCCAAGGTCGTCCAGAAGGCCGGTAATAGCACCAAGATCCGCGGTTTTTCCACCAACGTCTCAAACTACAACCCCTTCCACGCCAACCCTCGCGCCAACTACACCGAATGGAGCAACTCATATGACGAGAACAACTACGCTCTATCCCTTTCTCCCTACCTAGAAGCCGAAGGCTTGCCATCACGGTTTATCATCGACCAAGGCCGTGTCTCCAACAGCAGAGCCGAGTGGGGTGAATGGTGCAACGTCCACCCAGCCGGGTTCGGTATGCAGCCCGGCACGCCGGTGAACAACACCCATATCGACTCCATTGTGTGGGTGAAGCCAGGTGGCGAGAGCGACGGACGCTGTGGTCTTGAGGGTGCGCCTAGGGCTGGTGCTTGGTTTGACGAATATGTACAGATGTTGGTCGAGAATGCCGACCCCTCTATCCTTCCGAGTGACGCCTGAGGAGCATTGTCCGTCTCATTTCCGACGACAACTTCGCAGTTCTGAAACGTCATTGTTGGATTTCTTTCATGTTCATATTTTATCATTAGATGTACATAGGGCACATATCAACCAGTACCATAGCTCACTAGCAAGCAAAGTCGTGGACATACACCCACAGTCTAAATTAAGATTGAATCTTAGAGACTATTGACATTACTTATCAAATAGTGCTTCACGTACCGACTCATGCAAACACGTGGAATTGGAGCAATCACCAGAGTTTCTTCCACCGTACCTTGACATCGCGATCGGGAGGCACAGCAGCTGTACCAAAGTACCGCTCATCATCCACAGGGGGTCGATCAGACTTGGACCCGTCCAGATTTGTCCACTCAACAAACTCCATGTCGAACTTTGTGACTAGGATGGCGATTGTAAGAAGAATCTCTTGTTTGGCAAAAAATCGTCCTGGACACATTGATGGTCCACCACCTGCGCATGATGTCAGTTTATTCTATCATTATTGTGAGATATTCTTCATCGTTGAACTCTAGGAGAGGGCCCACTGACCAAACGGGATGAATTCATTAGTCTTTCCCGCCAATACGAACTGCTTTTCGGTAGTAAGTCGACCAGTATCTTCGTCTACTCGCTTCACATGCTTGACATGTCTCTCTGCCCAAAACTCGGAAGCAGAGTGCCCTTCCTGGCTCCATATTTGCTCGTCTAAGTGCACAAGATGCGTCGGAGCCTGTATCATTGAGCCTTTTTTCAAGCGGAAGCCGTGGAGCGTGGTCGTCTCGACAACTTCTCTGGAGAGCGCAATGGAGACATGAAGACGCATGCACTCCGTATAAATAGACTGCATCAACGGCATCGAGATGAGCTTGGATACATTGAAGGACCGCGTCCCGGTGGCGGGATCCACGTTGAGGGTCTCAAGAGCCTCACTGCGAACTGCTTGGAATAACTCCTGATCTCGCAAGAGCTCAATCATCACCCATGTGGTGATTGGTATTGTGTTCGCGTTTATTCTGACAGATTAGAATCAATGTACATGATCAACACGAAGATTTCAGACGTACCCAAAGATCGCAATCATGTAGAATCCTGCTTTGGTCTCCGGAGCCATATTTGTGTCGTGAAGCCATTTGGTGATCTTGCGAACATAGCTTGATCCGAACGTGGGCTCCCAGGTGGAATCCACCGCAGGACCGTCCCAATCAAAGTTCGCAAAGGCCTTTTCCAGATACTTCTGCGTCATGCCGTTTAACTTATCGCGTTCATTCACCGGACCACTGTTGATCCACTTTGGTAGCCCATACACAACCTGGAAGGCGATACTATCGAAGCGCCAGAACTGCTCAACGTAGTCTGGGAACATCTTTAATAACTCGGTACCACAGAAAGATCTGATGGCGCTTGCACACATTTCTCTCTTCAAGAAATCCAGAAGATGAACGTTCGCCCACTGGCCCACAGGCTGCTTTTCCAAAGCCTCGTTGAAGAACTTTGTGTAAGTCTCTGCCAAATGAGCAGTGGGCTCTGCGCGTGATAAGTGTTCAACCGTAATATGGTGCAATGTGTACCAATATCGCTCCTCTTGCGGTGTATTTTCGTAGCCTGGTGCGGGTACTCTTTGCCGCCCTGATAGATCGTTTGCGAACTTGTCGACGTCTTTTTGAGCCGAACCTTGCAGATTTCTCATGACCAAGAGAATGAACTTGTTCGAGCTGATGCTGGTAGATGATCGAAACATGGCTTGCACGCTTTCTCCCCCCTGCACAAAGTATACGCGCATGGGTCCTAGGTAGAATTTGACAATATTGCTGTGATTCATGGAACGACTTACAAGCAATGAGTTAGCTAACCTCGAGTAAAAGCACGATCGCCCGATTCTTCTGAACATACCTTGCACGCTCCATAAGTCTCCTGATATTCGTCATGTATTGATAGGTGTTGCTGATAAAAGGCACGGCCTCGGGAAGTGACGGTGGCTCATCTTGACTTGGCCGACGGAGGCAAACAAGCAGGATCGCGGGTATCAAAAGTGCAATGGCCGCCGTTATAGGATGATTAGAGATCAACCAAAATACGCTCAATACTTTTGAAGGCATTATGAGCATGAAGAGCACTACTTTGACCAACGGGAAGGTGTTCAGGTCGTACGTTGTGGAACACAAACATCATCACGCCTCTTCTTCGCGCCACCAACAGGTGCGGGGTCTATGACCATGAGATGAACCTGAGTGATTAAGCCACCAACAAAGCACCCCGGCGCTTACAGGTAGTGTATCGTATCACATGATTGAGCTCGGTTCTGTAATTGCGCTAACTAACCAGTAGGGAGAAAACAATGCGAATCCTACTATAGGCAAGCAGCTCGCCGGTGGGATCTCGTCTTCATGCGTCAAATATTGGCGGAAAGCACCCTGACATTAAACCTAAAATTCGCGACGATACGATATCTTCCTAATTTAGGGTGATCACTCAATTTCACTCCCCTCCATCGTTGTTCAATTGCAGACTTCCCATCGACGACATAACATCAAGTATGTCGGACGCCTCGCTCCATTTCCCATGTAGAGTCATGCTGACAGATGACGTGATGGAATCGTGATTTCTGAATGTCGGCCTCACCTTTTTCTCCACGAGATTGAATGCATCTTTGCGAATCCTTAGAAGCAACCTGTCGAACATCACTTGTCGCTTTTCTTCTCCTCCATGACCTTCAGATTGGAGTACATCAGGAACGCGCCAGCTGATGTAAAGATTTTTGTGACTGCTTCGATGCCCGACGCCAGACCGGTGCTCCTCGAAATAGTACTCGCAAAGCCTGCAGGTTGGCTTGCTACTGCCAATGTACATCCAATTATTGAAGAACCTGGCGGGCGAAACACCTCCCGCTGTTTTCTCGAGATGATTGAGCAGTAGGATCTCCGAGTGAACAATGGGGTGAAAATTGTCTTTCTGGTATTCTTTTTGAATTCTTTGGTCCAAGTGCATGAGTTGCAGGTCCTGAACAAACTCTCTGAATTTTTCGATGATGTGTTCTTTGCGGGTCATGCGACCGACAATGCCTTCGGCGGTCATACTTTTATTCCGCCCTGGTCGCGGGAGCGGGTGACTCGATGGGCGAGTCAAGATCTCGAAGTTTTGAAATATCTCGGGCCAGTTGTCTTTTGCAAGAACGAAGAACTCGATGTCCTTACAATATGCTAGAAGACGGTTAACCATATGACGTATCTCAGGCCAACAAGAAGAGGAGTTGCTTGTGACTCCATCCAAACGAATTCCTTTTGCTCGTTGGTCGATGTATCCCCAAACCTCAGAGGCTTTCAAGCGGATTAGGTTGTGAAGAAGAATATTGCATTTCCGAAGGTCTGCGGCATTCTCTAGTCAGGTCAAATATTGCTGGATACATGCAATCTCATTGATATTTAATGGCATAGAACTCACATTGAGACTGAGTGGTCATCCTGTCATCGTGAAACTCAAGCAACTCGAGAGTACTTGTCAGGGATTCAATAATTGATACCACTATGAAGGTATGGTCAGTCAGTTTTACCTCCGACTTAGTCGTCAAACGCCCCACAGCTTGACCTACCATTTCGAGCATCGTCAATGCAGCGCTGTATCTCTATTTCAAGTCTGCCGATGTAGGAATTGATTCTGGGTCTGTTGAACCAGAGGACCGCATTTAGCAAGTCCTTACGCAACTCCGAGGTCTTTGCTGACGCGGATGCTCTGCCAACTCGCTCAAGTAAATATTGGATGTATGCTCTGACATTCTCGAGATCATCTGCACTTCGCTGATTTGATGCAAGATGGTACTCAACATTTATTCCCTCGGATCCGCGAAGCAACATGATTGAGGTAACAGTACTACCCCCGTTGCCCGGGGTACTGTCGCAAACATGAGCTAGCTTATACACAAAGGCTTGAAAGATTGTCTTCACGTCTCCGCGATAGTTGAAATCATCAGGGTCGACAAATTCGGCCAGGTTCGTCATCTCATCGTTCATTGCTTTGAGAAGAACCAGGGGCTCATAGAACTTGTTGATAACTCGAGACTTCATCGGGATAAGTCCAGCTGTAATAGCAGTCAGCGGTAATGAAATGAACAGCTGTATATAGCTTCAGGAAGCACATGATACAAACGTTGTAGAGTCGCAGCCGGCACCATTTTGATGTACTGAATTTGGTAAATGGACTTTGAATAGCAATTTCGGCACAGGTCAAGAGCACCAATTTACTTCAGCGCAGCTGTTATGCTCGCATTAAGTACGCAATCGATGCAGCTTCATAAACGCCTGCGCAATGTCACGGGACAAGCCAATGACCGTAAGACATGTACGTCGTAATTTGACCAAACTTTTTGAAGTGGTCATTCTCAGTCGCTTTGCTTCGTGTATCAGCAGCAGGAGGCCAGCCCACCATCTCGTGAAGTATTAGCTCGTCCCAACGGATTTAAGGTTAGACTACCTTATCTACCAAGACTTTCACCCTGGACCAGGAACAGGCCTATGCACTTCTTCGTCTCATTGGAGAGCTTCTCCGCGAAGCTCGAAGTTGGACTAATATAGATAAGGTCTGAAGCGGTGATAGGTTCAAGCAACTTGTGATCAGTGAACGTTGATTTGGTTGAGAATTCGAAATCAAGCCTACCGAAACGACTTTACCCACCCGCATCTCAATTTCTTTGCGAACACATGATGTGTAGGTACATAAGTATATATAGTCCGTCTGGATCGTCGTGTGTGGATTATTACTAAACTTCTCTGTGTCCGAATCGCAGCCGGAATAGGCGGCTCCTTCACTCGCTCAGAAGCAAACCCTTGAAAGCCTCATATCATGAGTTTTTCGACACCTTCCGAGCAGTTTGAGGAGCTGAATAGCCCCAGCATTATACTTACTGAGCTTTCGGGCAATGAGGATTTGTCCACGTCGGATCCAATGGGCTGGGCCTCGGGCGGTCTGTTGATTGAGACAGATCAAATCTCGGCCCCTCTTGGTCCAGCCCTTCAAGTCATCAACCCCAATTTACTCTCCTATTTTAAGACCAACCACTTGATTCAACCTACGGACCATCCAAAATATGATGAGGATGAAGCCCTCATCAACCATGCCGGGGATAAGGCCCAAGGATCGGCGGTAGAGACCGAGTTATCCTATGGCACTCGACCACAACTCATGATTGAGATTTCTGGTTTCACTGAAAATCCATCCGACGTCTCCAATGTCGACGCGATTCAGTGGGATGTTCTCGATGGTCCTACTCCGATGGCTTAGTTGTCGGAATTTACACATGTTTCTGGCCTTCGCTCGCCAAGTCACGAGCCGGCTGAATTCTGTCAAGGCACCCTCGAGGAGCAATCTTTCCCGTTGTTTGTTGTTGATGGTACTGGACCCCTCCTACTGTATTTGAGCTGGACTAAACTAAACTGCTATGTAGCATCCCGGCCAGGATGTGTCTTCTGCATGAAGCACCAAAAGTGGTACGAGACCGGTGAACAGTTTCGGTAAGTCTGACCCCCTCCATTCCTTGCCAAACCTACAAAACATCTGAATTTCCAAAAGGCGACATGAGAAACGACACCGACGACGAGTCAAATGCGGCTATGAAAAGTGCCCCATGACATTTGCATCTTCCAAGGAACGGAACGAGCACTCTTTTCGCTATCACAAGAAGTGGTCGAAAGAGAACAACGTGCCTGATCCAAGGCGACGTTGTTGTGTATGCCGAAGAAGATTGTCAAAAGCATGCTACATTAAGAGACATCTGGAACGATCTCCCAGCTGCAATGCAGTCCTAGGCGGATTGCCGACCAAGGATCAAACTGCAATGCTGTCTGACTCTGAGAACGATTGACAAGTGTTGATATGGAGGGTTTCCCTTGTGGGGTTTGGAGCTGTGACAAACTGATAAGTGTGTGGCCGTATAGGGGCTTGTGTCATTCGCTATGAAGACCATCTGGGGTTCTGGACAGGCCTGAAATTACTCAGTTCGGTTGGTCCGAGTCCCGATCCGACGGCTCAGTCTCGCTACGGACTTGAAGCTTTACTTGAAGCACAATGCCAGCAGTATTACATGTTTTGCCGGGGTTCGTGTAGAACATGACAAATTGAACGTGGTAATTACAAGCTCGATTTTTTATAGAATATGGAAGAGCTCTGGAGTCTGAATTCCTCAATCCGGTTGTGGTGACGTTGAGTCAACTAGGAAGTATATCTTATTCTTACTACAGCGCCATGACGTCGGACCATGGAGAAAGGTCGCAAATGGAGACCCTCGGATCCCACGGCATGCAAGATTACTTATCAATTTTAAGAATAGTGTCCGTACACCGGCATTTGGAACCCACTCTTCGCCATTGCTCCTTGCAGGCGACGACTCAGATGAAGCGGCAACACGAAAGCGAATGCAGTAATACTGGGACCTTGACACCTCATAATCACTTGACCGCCACTACATCTAGACCCGTGATATAGCTGATCCCGGAAGTTTCAATGGTCGAGAAGGATGACGAGAGCTTTCCGGCCCCAGTCCGCATCGTGGTCCTGTCAACGCAATTACTTGTACGTTGGAAATTCCATATCGTCTGAGCTCTGGTACTCAGTATAATCTCCAGTAATATCTTTAAACCTCAGCTCGATCTAGGTCTGAAGTCCATAGACATGACCGGCTATTTCACCGCGGGAGGCATTGTTGACTGCCAAGACCTCGATGGATCTTGAACAACGAGCAAGATGCAGCGTACGCGTATTCCGATACTGTGCTTGAGATGGCAATCAAATTGAGAGAGCTCATGTAGGAAATATCCACATGTAGTGCTATGAATGGCAACATTTCAGAATAAGGTTTGTCGATCGCGGAACAGCTTTTGAAGAAAACACAAGGACTGACTCGATCCATCACCTGATATTATTCCAGGGACGGCGATCACTTGTTGCTCTTTCCTAGTTGAAGAAACAACTACAGCTGGCCTATAAATCTCCAAGCTGGCTACCCTTCCCATTTATAATCTCACGGCACAACAGCCTTCACGTCATTGACTGCTCGATTATCGTTTCCACTTCTACTCCTAGGTCGGTTCCCAACCTAAAGCAATGCCGACGGGAAGCTTTGCTAACTTATCTTTGACATAGAAACGAGAAGAACACCTTGCCTTTCACCTGTCAAAACATTCCCCCCGGTTCGCAACCATGAAGTTCGCCACCATCGTCGCGGCAATTACCTTGGTCGCCTCGGGTGCCCTTGCTACCCCTTCTCAGGGCAACGACCTTGTGCGTCGCGACTGTTACGACTGCCACTACAAGTCTTTCGACGCTGGCCGCTGTGATGGAAGTTGCAGCAGCTCGGAAGCCGAGGGCAGTGGACAGGTCTGCCGGAAGTGCATCAGTGGATGCCCTGCTACGACCGACGCCGATCGCGGAGACACGCCCGCCGTGAGCTGCTAGATATCTTCGGGACGAAGAGACTGGAACGTAACCCCGAGGAGATTCGAAGAACCTTCTGAAAGGAGGACCAGCTGTAGGAAGTGGCGAAATCGGAGTCATAAATCAACCAATTGAGTAACCAGTTGAAATTACAATGTACGAGGGAATTGTCAGATTCCAACCCCACCTGAAACATGTTTGCGACATTAATTTCGTGGGGTCAATTGTCTCCTTGGGCGTAACGCTGGGCTTACATGTTCGTACGCCTTGACGATCAAAGCAACATCTGTCCCGGATACGATTCTCAAGTTCGATCGCAGACTGACCATAAGCGGTGCTCAGCTGTAACGAAATTTAATCAGACACCTATAATATATTTGGACATGATAGATCAGGAAGCTCGGCTGGCGTGAAGATATGATCTACTACGGAATCCGTTCGAGAATACACTTTCCCATGTTTACAGCGTGCTTAGTAGATGACAGACTGTCGATACTGGACAAACGTCTTTCCTTAATGAGAGTACTTGAGAAAGATTGAGGAGGGAACGCAAAGCTACACAGTCGCATCTAGATCTCTTACTCGGTCCAAAATTCAAGTAGATGAAAGTGAGCCTTGCGCGAACGATGTCATCCTGTGCTCGCCAAGTTCCAGCCCATCAGACAAAAGGCTTCCAGAAAAGACAATTTCTATGGCATCTGGTAACCACGCACGGGAATACTCACTCCAAGGTGGACTCGTTGCCATTACTTTGAACACTAGGCTGCTGTTGCGCGCTTGTATGCCCTTCACCAACATTCCTAGCCATTGCATGACCAGATACATTCCCCGGATGTGCAACTCACTCTGCAGAAAGTCCACGCCATCAATCATACAGAAGATAACTCCGGATCCTAGTTGATTCACGACATTCTCGAACACGCCCCAGAGAACTTCCAAACCATAACTTCGAAGGGTTTGCAAGTCTGTCTCTGCTAGAAACCCCAAATCAATTTGGTCCGATGAAGAAAGAACGATTTATGAGATCAATGACCTCAACAAACCAGTGGGACCAGGAAGAGGACCGTCTGGGTCGCAGTGTAGACGGCAGAAGAATGCCCAAGGGCGAGCGCAATTGATGCGGGACAGTGTCCGAGCTAGTATTGAACACATGTAGCTCAAGGGCGAGACAACATCGGTGTGCAGTAGATCAGCAGTCACAGCCAACGTATTCTCAACCTGGAGTTGTGGCAGGATCTGTCCCAACCCGCTATGAACAGAAAACGCCTCGGCCATTGCCTCAACGGCCAGAGTTTGGAAGCGCCCATCAATTAGTCTTTAATACCCAGATGCCCGGCAACCCGAATCCTCAGGGCCCCACAGGTTCATCGCCATGGCACATGTCTTAGCCATGCCCGATTCAATGGAACGGGGTGAGCTTGATGTTGCACTCAGTTGATGACGCCCACGGGGGGAAGGGGGTGGACTTCTTCGAACAAAGTGAGAAAGCCTCGAGTGATTTCGTTCGTTTGCGGACAATTCCATGCTTCAACAGAGTACATTCAATTAGTATTTACATATATTTCTCACTTATCCTAGACGTATTATATACCTACACCTCATCGTCACCTCATTGCATGTACCGAACTTCCTGCAAGTGCTTTTTCTTGTGCCTTGCGTTGAGCACAGTAGATACACCTGCAACGAGTTGAATCCACAGGGGCAAACAAAATATCTAACTCAGGCTGGCCTGCGCTCCTTTTCTATCGGGTAACACCAAGGTAAGGTAAGATAAGAACATAATGTACCTGAGGTTAGCACGTAGTCCATTGGCTGTGGCCGTGGAGCTAGACTTGCGTACAAAGATTTCTTCTAGCGCGGTTCGTGATTTCCTACTCTATGTTGTTGATGCGGCCAGGCTTTCACAATACTACATGCCCTTAATAGATTTGCTAAAAGATTGAACTTGATCGATGGCTTGAGAAGTGTGACTGTGCGAACGCTATTGCCTAAGTACTTCGTAATGTAGCAAAGGTCGTGTTTTCCAAGTCACTGTAGCACATAATTCGGCGTCAAGTCCTTGGGTGGCAAAGATCAATCATGTGAACAGAGTGATAAGGCGTTAAAGATGTAGATCAGAATCGGAATATTTACTGCTTCTTACCCGCTTCTACGAATTCATTTCGCCCAGCCGTACAGATATGAGAATTTCATCACTGGGTATTGCTGTATTACATGTGATTGCGGTTACTATGTGGAATCTCTTGATCTCAGGTAGTTTCCCTTCGCTTCCTGTTACTGTCCCGTTAGTATCTCCCCATCCTGGGCCCATGCGGGTCAGGTGTTGCTCTCGAAATGGTGTATTCCGTCGTGACGACAATCTTGTTGGGATCGACATCAGGTTGATGCCGCCTTGCCCTCATAGATTGCCGGTTGCTGTTGATAGGCTCTGCTGCAACTTCCGCAATGTTTGATCCTTGAGGCAAGTAAGGGCTCTGTGGCTTATCGGTAGAGCCAATCGAAGCTTCCTCGCCGCCGGCAATGTTCTTCTCCACACTGCTAGAGACTATGTGTTCGTCTGATCCCCATGTTGTCTCATTTGGGATGGAAAGAGGGTGGCTTCGGGGCCCTGGTTTGCCTGGATAGCTGCCCAGGCGGTATCCCTGGCTGTCTCCCATGGCGCCGCTCTTGTTGGTACTCGCATTACGGCTCTTGTCTATGACGCTTTTGAAAAGGGGGTAGACCATGGGCATGTTGGTAAGGACTACGGACACGAAAGATTCTCGGACAGACCAGTAGCCTGATTGAGCGGGATCGGTATCGCCAACCTGGGGAAGCAATCTGGTTAGTAACCCTCGAAAGTAGCATTGATGGGGTTCACTTACTGTAAGGATCGAGACGCAGCGAAGGATACCAAACGTCATCTCGAGAAAGCCACCGCTGAACATGATCATGAGAGTGACCTTCTTCCTCCAGGGAAGATGGGACTTCCACACCATCTGAGAAACGTCAAGTCAGCTGACGATTCGCTAATTAACTTCGTCTCCGTCCAAAACATACCGGAAGCGGGATAGCCATTAGGTAGAAGTCTGTGACTGTGTTCTGCCACAGTGTCAGCCGGGTATGCTGAGAAGATTTGTCGCTATGGCACCTTGAGCGTAGTGAACTTACCATGGCCATGACAAAGGTGGTCTGCAATATAGAAACGGCAGGCATACAAGAGTCTTTCTTCGGTCAGTCCAGTTACTCTACGAGGAAATACTTGCCACTTACTACCCGGTGACGGGTTGATCTGCCATTGATTTTGGAACGGGATGCATTTCATGAATGCGACCAAAAGACACGCAACGTAGGTTATGGGCATGATGATCATAGCCCAGAAGATGACTCGCTTCATCTTGTGAACCCCATCACTGGCAGACGTCAGCACCAAATTGGATGATCTCGAGTGAAGACTGCAGGTTCACTCACGTAAGACGAGAGTAGTAAACTACCCAACAAGCCTTAAGCAACCATAGCAGAGTTGTGTATAGTAGGAGGCCAATCACATGTGTCTTGGAGCCGTTGACACGTAACAGCCACTCTGGTGATGTTGGATCTAGAGCGGCTCGTTGATCGTCTGTCATGCCATTGTTGGCAAACCCTTTCCAGTATGCGACGACAAAATATGCCGCCACTGACTCCGCAGTATATACAAGCTAGCAGATGCATTAGTCAGATGTCAGTTGACTTGGAGACGGTTATGCTTACAATTGCCAGGAACATCAGGGCGTCATCCCAAGCAAACTTTCTCCATCCCAACGTAGAGGCTCGGCTGTAGTATCGTAATCCGACTACGAGATAGGCAGCACCCTGCAAGCCCCAGACCTCCTGGATGAACGCATTTGCTTCGGCTGCGGACATTTTGTCAACATAAAATAACCTAAATGAAAAGAACCGCCAGAGGTAGAAACAGAAGAAGCATAGCCGGATCCGGCAGCTAGGTCGAATGAAAGGAGATCAAGCGGGAAACACAAAGTGTAAATAACTACCCGAGGAAAACTCTGAACAGAAACCGAACCGATGGAACTAAACGTGTAGCCCCGTGCGCCTGACAGCTTGAATCGCTCATGTGTCACTGCTCTTCTTTCTTCTTGAGGGCCTTGTGCTTGTTCCCTGCCTGGTGCTCCTGGTTCAGTGTTCCCAATATCCAGCAAGGACCATGCCGATCGTGAGGCCAGGCAGGGGAAGGTCTGAATTGGGTGCTTATGATTGACAGTTCATCTCTTAGGACTGAAGGTGGTCAAGGCACGAACGGTGTCAATGTACGGACTGCTCCGTGAACCGTTTACTCGTACCCCCAAAGGATCAGGGGGGTTTTCGTCACGGAGCCAACTCCGCTTTCGATAACAACGGTGGCATAGGAGAAGTGCCCCAGTTGATTTCCACTTGGAGTACCACACGATGAGGACCAAACCGTCCGATCGAAGGTTTGCTCGGGGAACCGGAGAGCAGCCGGGAACGTTGGTCCTCCCCAGGACCATAGGCTCAAAGGTTGATCTAGACTTATCGTTGGTTGAATAAGTGACCTGTGGCGCTACGCCACTACGATTTCTGAACCAATCCGTATTGAAGCTAAGTTTTAGACCGTTCACTAATCGAGTCCCGCCAGCGAAAATTCTCCATTAGGACTAACGGACTGTGACGGCAGAACGTCGTTCATTATTAGTGATGTCTTGAACCCTGGTGGCTGAGCTAGCATAGTCTTCGATATCCAATGCGGCTTCCATGCAGTTCTCCTTGGCATATTGCATGAAACGGCATCTTACAAGTTCCCATGAACCTGGAGCCGTCTATCCGCGTTGTGCGCTTCCAGTCCCTGCGGTCGGCCTCGCTTGCGGTGCAAAAAGGACATACCGCACTCGTCTTCTGTCATATTCAGAAGTCCTTCGCGGCCCAATGGAACTGTAGGAATGTCAATCTCGAGTTCTTGGCCGCATTGAAACCCTGCCAGGAACCCAGTCGCTCGGACGCCTGAGGTGCAGCATATCAATCCATCTTCTTTCGGGGCCCCGGTCGTAGGAGCACTGATCAACGCCTCGTAATGTCGGCAGCTATTCACCCTTTTTGTAACGCTGGGTTACCATTTGGAGTGTTTTCGCCAGAGTGTCTCCATTGTGATAATACAATGTGACGAGTCATTTCTAGTTCCAACGACGGCAATGAGTGGTATTCAAGCTGTAAAAAGGTGGTAATTGTGTGGATACAGACGTGGCAGAGCACGAATCAAGATATTGTCGATGCGAGAATCTGCAGATAATTCTGCCCAGGGTTTGTTCTCCATAGTGGAAACGACTGCTCAAGGGTTCCGGGGTTCGATACTCCATTAAATGGAGAGACAACATCGTCTGCCCGCAAATAAGCGTTACAATGGACTCTTAACTCGCGCAACAATACGCCCGTCAATCTGGGCCTTGTCGCGGCAATAGTCCGACCGTTATCAAATCTCTAGAAAAATCATCGCTTACCTCCATCGATGTGCCCGTCCCATTAACTCGTCCCTGCAACGCAGAAATGCCACCTCAATGGCTCAAGTAGCCATTCAACGTAACTGCCGGTGGGATCGCCGATACGCCGCGGGCCCAGGATGCATCATCGTCCACAATTTACGGTTACGGTTTGCTTTTCTTGACCCAACGACGGGCCCATCATTAACGGGCGGGCTAGTGGGGGAACCATTCCGTGGTCTCCACGGGTTGCGAATTCGTCTCGCCAACGTCGGCGAGAAGCGCGTATCCCTCCAGTCGCATCTAAGCTGGCAGTTGGGGACGATATCACCTGAAGCACATCGCTTAGCCATTTCCTTGACCGTGGTTTTGGGAAAAAGAAATACTGCCTGACAAGCACACAAGTTACCAGCTAGTTGGTGGCGAGGAACAATGTCAGATATCAATTACCCGGGGAGTCCGGCATGAGCCGGGCCCCAGAGACCTTTGCAGCTATTAGTGCTGTCAAGTTTATCTCCCATCCAACAGTTCAAGTAGCTCTTGGAACTCGAATGAACTCATTTCTCATGTTTGCTTGCTGAGCGCTGCGTAGTTCCCCCGCCTCGGTAATTTGCAAAGAGACAAAGACATCTCCTTGCTCTGTTGGATTCAGGCCATGTATCATCCAGCCTGTCCTTGTCGTGGTACTCATTATGGATCATCAACGAGCCCCCACGTCTAACGGCGCGCCATTCCAACCGTTGGAAGAGGGCCGGCCCCATCGTCCATATGAATGGCGCACGGACAAGCATCATGCTTTTCCATTTCGGTCCTGACTCGAGCCCGAAAGGGGAACAGATCATCCCCCTCTCACGGCCCCAGGGCCCTTTCAACACCGAGCCCTTGTCGGCGGGACGCTCCCGGGCGCTGGAGTGACGAGACCGCTGCCCAAGGTCCCACCGGCGCGCCGTTGAAGACCCCCGCAGTCTTTTTGGAGATGGTGGTGGTACGGCATCCTGCTCGTCTGTCGGATCAGATCCATCGTTCGACCAACCATTGCACCCATTGGGCTGGGCTGGCAGAGAGGAAGAGCTCATTGAAGGGAGTGGGGAGGTCCAGCCAAGACTGCTCATCAAGGGGACTCTCGAAGACGAGTCAAGATGCTGACGGACCCCACGACTTGAGCATATGCGAACCAACCTGCTTCATCTTGTCTTCGACGCACAGCTCACACTCTCTTTTCCTTGATTCCCTCGCAATTCTACACTCCCTAAACGCCGAACTTTAATCCTCAAGTTTGTAAAGGCCGTGCCGGATCAAGCCAAGAAAACATGGCCACTCCGGAATCGAACGTAGATGTGTAAGCGTCCTCACTGACAATCTCCTCACCACAAGTATCACCCATAAGCATGAGCAACATTTCACTAACGTCAATTTTCACAGGCTCATCATCGGTGCCGGCCCTGCGGGGTAAGTCAAGCAGCGTGACATGACGCTTTCTTTTCTCCAAACCCTTAGTGCCTAGCGGACTGACGAGTGTGAATGCCGCCGCAGGTTGATGGCAGCCGCCTGGATGGCGCATTGCGGCGTCAACGCTCGCATTGTCGACAAGAGAAACACAAAGATCTTTTGCGGCCAAGCCGATGGACTTCAATGTCGCAGTCTGGAGATCTTTGACTCGCTCGGTTTCGTGGATCGGGCCTGGAAGGAGGCCAATCACATGATTGAGGTATGGATTATGACTACCACTCTGTTACCGAATGTCTCACGCTGACTTATTCTATCAGATTTGCATGTGGGTATGTGACCATCCTCATAATTCCAAGGCAGTTGGCAAAGAAAAATACTCACAACTTTTAGAACCCCGGCAATGATGGTGTGATTCGTCGCAGCGACAGAATCCCAGACACCATCGTCGGCCTCTCGCGCTTTCAGCAGATTGTCCTCCAGCAGGGCCGCATTGAGCGATTCTTCCTGGAAAACATCAAGAAACACTCCAAGGACGCGATCAAGGTCGAGCGCGGGGTCCTCCCCGAGTCGCTCGAGATTGACCTGTCCAAGGTGGACGATGACGCCGCTTACCCGGTGACAATCAAGCTTCGCACACTGAACGAGGAGGAGTCTACCCCTCCTCAGGCTGCCAACGCGAGCAAGATCCCTGACGGTCTGTTCCGGAGCAACTTGATCCGGGACGATGACGAGGCGGACTTGATCAAGAAGGCCCAAGACAGAGCCGGCGCGAGTGAAATTGTTCACGCCAAATATGTCATTGGTTGTGATGGTGCTCGCAGTTGGACTCGGAGAGCTCTTGGGTTTGAGCTGGATGGAGAGGCTACTGATTTCATTTGGGGCGTCATGGACATCATCCCCATTACTGACTTCCGTTCGTCAACCATCCCCTTGACCATCTTAAAGTGTATCTGACGCTAACACCTGAACCTGCACAGCCGATATTCGCATGCGCTGTGCCATTCACTCCGCAGAGAACGGTAGCTTGATGGTCATCCCCAGAGAGAACAAGCTTGTCCGCCTCTACATCCAGTTGAAGGAGGTTGCCCCCGACGCGTCTGGAAGAGCTGACCGCTCCAAAATCACCCCCGAACTCATCTTTGGCGCTGCGCAGAAGATTCTAAGCCCGTACAAGATTGAGTATGAGTACTGCGACTGGTGGACCGCATACCAGGTGGGTTCAATATCTCGCGCAATTCGCTATTATCGTGGCATTTGCTCACAAGGTGCAACAGATTGGTCAGAGAGTCGGTACCGAGTACGACGCTCACGGCCGCGTCTTCCTTGCCGGCGACGCCGTCCACACCCACTCCCCCAAGGCCGGTCAAGGCATGAACGTCTCCATGCAAGACACGTACAACCTCGGCTGGAAGGTGGCTCTAGCCGCCAAGGGTATCGCGAAGCGCGACATTCTCAGTACCTACCAGAGCGAGCGCCGCCGCGTTGCCCAAGACCTCATCGAGTTCGATCACCGCTTCAGCCGTCTCTTCTCCGGCCGCCCCGCCAAGGATGTCCTGGATGAAGAGGGCGTCAGCATGGAGGTCTTCAAGGATGCATTCCTCAAAGGCAACTTATTTGCGTCTGGTCTCTCCGTCGACTACGGTGCCAGCAACCTGGTCGTCAAGGCCGGCGATTCGTTGAAGCAGGGCGACGGCAGCAAGGTGCTCAAGTCTGTCGCCTCCATCTCCGAAGAAGACTTCAAGAAGAAACAGGCGCTGGCCCCTGGTCTGCCCGTCGGTATGCGCTTCAACAGCTTCAAGGTCCTGAACCAAGCCTGCGCTCGCCCCTGGCACTTCCAGGAGATTCTCAAGGCCGACGGCCGTTTCCGTGTCGTGCTCTTTGCGGGTAACATTCTCGATGCGTCACAAAAGGCTCGTGTAGACAAGTTCTGCGCGGCTCTCGACGCCCCTGACAACTTCCTTCGCAAGGCCACGCCTGCAAATGCTGCCATTGATAGCGTCATCGAGGTTCTGACTATCCACTCTGCGAAGCGGACTGACACAGAACTGCTGAGAGATTTTCCCGATATCTTGCATCCCTTTGATTCGCACACTGGCTGGGACTACAATAAGGTGTACGTCGATGACGAGAGCTACCACGAGGGCTTCGGAGACGCCTACAAGAACTATGGCGTCGACAAGCAGAGGGGTTGCGTTGTGGTTGTGCGCCCCGACCAGTATGTGGCGTGGATTGGCGAGCTCGAAGACTTTGATGATTTGCAGAAGTACTTTGAGGGATGTTTGGTTCTGGGCCAGCCCGCTGCGAATGAGGTTAATGGCACGAACGGAACTTCATTGCCAGTGCGGTAAATGGGCTCCGAGCCGGCAACGTTTGGTATTCAAGTAGCGAAGTAGGTCATTTAGATGCTGTATAATCAATACATATGTCAAAAATAATAATAATTCGCTGGTGAACAGACTACATGCACGTTTTGCTACTTAAATTTGACCGAGAAGACCGCGTTGTCCCCGTGCCCTTATAATCTCCTATGTCGTGTTGAACTTCTGAACAAAATTGCAACTCGTCCGCCGTCCGAGAAATAAAGTCTTCAATCTACGTCTTGGTGGAGGCCATCGCATAGTCCAGTCACATGCAATTTTTCATCGGGGTATAGAGCCTTACCATTCCTATGCATGTGAGCATCTTCTAGTTGTTCAGTTCATTCTTATCCTTTCCCACAAATGGGCATCGTCTTGAAAAGGCCCAACAACGGCCAACATTCGGAATGTCCCGGGCCTGCTACCCGTGCGTTGGCTGATCAGCTTCAGGGGCTCTAGCTCTGTTAGCTCTGTCTCACTAGAAGGCGCCGCTCCCCTCACTCTAACATTGAACCTTATAAGCTCCCCGCTGTGGGGATAAGTGCGCTAATGCTGGAGAGTGAAGTTGACGAGAATGAAAATGTCGAGAAGTACCTCAGAAAGCGTTGAAACGAGGCCAGTCGTTTGTTTATGGACGGTGGTTTAAGCTGTTGTTCGGGTCAATTTGACACCATGTCAGTCTACCTACCTTACTTTATCATACTCCGTAGGGAGTATCGCTCGATATCGCGTTTCGGTGATGGTCACCAAGGAATGCCAACGGCATGAGAATTCTCCCTGGGGAGCGGTTCTTTCACAATGTTCGTCACATCTATGCTCAGACTTACTACTCAAATGCTTATTGATATTGAGACTCAGACCTCTTCATGTCCCTGGTGTCACTCAAGCGCGACGCCTGCCATCCGATGGCCAAGACGGCACTCCCCCTGTTGCAGAACGCCGCTAAAGTATCACAGACCCTTAGCCTTAATCAAAAGGACTATGCTTCGCGGGAGATGTGCGCTGCTCCCCACTCGCCCTAGAGTATCATATTGAAACAGCCTCGGTCAATTGCCTCATTCCTCATTTAAAAGAAACGCCTCGATATTGTTCGGAGAATTAGATACCGCTTTCGACTCGAAACAGTGGGCGATCTTCTTCCTAGTCGACCCTCATCACAAAGCTTAAGGTACTCTTAGGTTGGGGGAAACCTGGAAAGGAGCACAGCGCATGGATGCTTCAAGCCACCCGCACTGACCGAAATCATCACACCGTCAACTCTCGGGGGGGGGGGGGGGGGACCTAACGTGCCTTGTACCGGTCCAGAACTTTACTCAGAGCACTTGAGGGGATCTGGGATCTAGAGCAGTCTTGCCTCTCCCGCCACCAGCATCACCGTACAAGGCGCTTCCCGTTGAACATCCCAGCCCGATGCCGCCTCCCGCTCCACCCCCAGGATTGTTAGTTGAGCTTACTAGAATTGAGCAACATCCATCAAACAACCATCCCCCCCACTAATAGCGCAAGTATGTGCAAATGAGGAAAACGCTGCGACCTCGGTTCGTCTGAGCGTTCATTCCATGTCGACTTGGACGTCTAGTCTCTCTCAACTGCCCAAGGTCAACTTCCACATGACGCTATTTTCAGTGCTCAACCATGTCGCATTACTCTTAGCTCAGTAAGCCTACCTTTCTATCGGTGATTTACGGTCTTCCATCAGTGTTGACAATTGTTTATCCCACAATGGGAGTGGCAAGACTACGGCCACCCAGATCTGTTGATACGTGTATATAAGTCGAGAACTTCTTCCGCTTTCTCCTCTCTCATCATCGCATCAACGGTTCAAAACATTCTTTCATTCTTCTCGATTCCGAAGCAAGTCTTCCATTCTATTCTTGGCATAAAGCTAAACATTCATTTACACTCTCACTCCTTCCAACTATTTCCGTCATTGAAATCAGCCTCCCAACGACATCAAAGTCATACCCACAATCTTTCAAAATGAAGGGCACAGTTCTCGCAACCTTTCTCGCCGCCTTCTCGGCTGGCGCCTTAGCCCACAAGGGCAGCTACAACAGCCCTACTGAAACCACCGGCGGCCAATCCGGAGGAAAGACCGGCGGCAAGTCTGGTGGCGGTGGTGGATTCGGACTCCCTGGCTCCGGCTCCGGTTCCGGCAGTGGTGGTCTCAGCGGCATTCTTCCCACTGGACTGCCCATTGGTGGCGGCAGCGAGGGTGGAATCGGTGGCCTCCTCGGCGGTGGTGGCAGCGGTAGCGGCAAAGGCAACGTTCTTCCCACAGGTCTTCCCACCGGTGGTGAGGGCGGTCTTGGTGGTCTTCCAGGAGGCATTGGTGGTGGCAGTGGTGGTAGCGGTGGCCTGAGTGGCATCCTCCCTACTGGATTGCCTATCGGAGGAGGTAGTGGAGGAGGTAGCGCGGGTGGCATTGGTGACGTCCTCGGCGGTGGCAAAGGCAACGTCCTTCCTACCGGGCTCCCAATCGGTGGTGGTAGCGAAGGAGGATACGGAGGTGGAGGCAGCGGCAGCGGCAGCGGCAGCGGTGCCGGCGGTATTGGTGGCATCCTACCTACCGGCCTCCTCGGTGGCGGTGGAGGAGGCCTTGGTGGTCTTCCCGGCGCTGGCGGCAGCGGCAGCGGCGGCATTGGGGGTATTCTTCCTACCGGTGTTCCCCTTGGTGGCGAGGGCGGCCTCGGAGGTCTCCCAGGTGGAAGCGGCAGTGGCAGTGGTAGCGGCGGCATTGGAGGCATTCTCCCCACTGGCCTCCCTGGTGGTGGTGAGGGCGGTATTGGCGGTCTCCTGGGAGGCGGTGGTGACAAGGGCCTCGTTCTTCCTACTGGCGGAAGCGAGGGAGGCATCGGTGGTCTTCTTGGTGGCGGTGGAAACGGCGGCATTGGCGGTGCTCTTCCTACCGGCCTTCCTATCCCGGGTATTGGCGGCAGCGGAAGCGGAAGCGGAAGCGGAAGCGGCGGTCTTCCCATTCCCGGCATCGGAGGCAGTGGTAGCGGAGGAAGTGGGGGCATCGGCGGCATCATCCCCACCGGCCTCCCCATCCCGGGAATCGGCGGCAGCGGAAGCGGCAGCTCTCCCTCCGGCTTCGAGACCCGGATCCGCACCACTACTGACAGCGGCGATGGTTACAATGCTCCCGCTGCTACCCCGGCCCCTGAGGATTGGTAAATGTTTGAGCACTTACCCTGGTAGAGCAGTTATTGACGCTTCTCAATTTCGGTTATAGCCTTTTTAGAATGACACAAAATCAAATCAACAATCTTCATGATCTTCCGCTCCAACTTCGGGAGTCCCTTCAAGCTGCAATCTGTGTACGCATAGCGTTCAATGGTGCACCTCCACTTGTGTTCCCGACTACTTCTTCATCCGCTTCTCCAACCAGATTGAATCCATCATCGCCGTAGTCGGCCACCAGATCACTCTCGCCATCGGCACTAGCATTCAATTCCATATCATCCATTCGAGCAGCAGCCTCGCTGACGCTCGCGGTATCACTATACGGATACCCAGCTAAGCCCTCCGGCAGTGTGGTGAGAGTGTTCGAATCATGGTTCTTTCCCACAGGCCGCTTCTCTTCCAGTGTTCTCTTCACATCATCATGCATGTTCTCCGTGATTTTGTCAAGCAACCGCTGAGTCTTGGCGTCGGGCACACTAGAGTCGGCACACTCAAAGACTCCCGGGAGACGCCAGTTTGGATAGAGGTTGAAGTGACTCTTCCTCACTTGCATGCGATCAGGGTGCGCGCCGAAGTAATAGTTACACAGCCTGCAAGTAGGCTTGCTGCTGCCAATGTACTTCCAGCTGTTGAAGTAGTCTCTTGGATGCTGCAGGTCTCTGCTCAGCAGATAGCTGTGAACGAGTATTTCAGCGTGAACACGCGGCCTGAAGGTGCGCTTGCCGATCTGCCTCTGGATGATGCTATCCAGACCGAACTTTTGCATCTCGACGGCATGCTGAAGGAATTCTTGTCGCTCCTCTTCTTCATCATCTGGAATCATGTTCTTGATTATGGATGCCGCGGTGATAGACTTGGATTTTGTCATTGGTCTTGCACCATCTTCGCTTGACGGGACAGCAGTGAACTTGAAGTCTTGAAACAGCTTCGGTAGGCGCTCATGAGTACCAATCATGGCATCTGCTGCCTGACGGAAGGAGAGCAGTCGCCCAAGATAGTGCCGCAACTCGGACCAGGACTTTGACTCGGAGATTTCTCCATCCTTGGCGTTTCTCATGATGGCCTGATCGATCTGAGTGTTCTTGATAGCCATAACCCCTTTGATTAGCTTTTCGCAATCACTCAGGACTATACTCGGGTCAGCCGTGCTCTTTATTCTGCTGAGCCAATTCACTGCACTCCTTTGGTAGACTTACACTTGTCTTGAACGCTTCCGGATGTAAGATCCCGTGGAAAATCTGCCTTGTCCTTCAGAGTCAGAAGTTCCGACTTGAGGACTGTAATACAGTCAGTGTCAGCATAATGGAGGGAAATCGATTACGAATGGTTCTGTTACCTTCCGTAGCCTCCCGTCTGTCACAATCGTCAATACAAGCATCTAAGTATTTGACGGCATTGTCTAGATAGATGCCTAGACGTGGCAGATTGAACAACAGTATCTTCCAAAGGACCTGCTTGGCGAGGGCCTTGGGCTTGAGACCAGTGGGATTCTTGCCTACAAGAGTAAGTAAATCTTCAGCGAACTGCTGAGTATCAGACAGCTCATCGGCGTCTCTGTGGTTGGACGCGAAGACAAAATCTGGGCCGTCATCTCCCTCGAGGACGGTGAATGAAGTGACCGTTTGGCCACCACGTTCATTGTCGCATATCTGAGCAAGCTTCTCCACAAAGGAGCGAAAGACCTGAGCCTGCGTCGCAAGGGAATCGTTCTCCACCTTCGGGTTACCGTTGAAGACATCTTGACCGGCACGGCAAGCTACTTGCAAGGCATACTCGAGAACGATAGGTTCGTAGAAGAGCCGGCGGTGGTCTACGTCAGTGGGTTGGACTTCGGGCGTTGCTTGTTGATTCATGGTTGTGGTGGTCTTTAGGTGCGTGGAGCTTGTGGTATTGAGCAATACTGAAAAGATAATATCAAACCGTCCAGCAGAGATGATTGTGCTGATGGATGGATAATAGTTTCGAGAAATGCGACCGAAGTGATCAAGAATTCGAGCCTTTTATAGCTGAAAGGCGTTTCCTTTTGACCATTTCATCATCACAGGCATATCCAATCACTGACTACGCAACACCGAGAAAGGAATTCGCTCCCGATACTCTAATGTTCTTCCACTTTCACTCACGCAGCACCAACATCGATCCCATGGACATCTACTTGCTTCGTGATATCGCATGATGCAGTTGGAAGCACACCGGGGCTGTCCAATCGCGTGTAAGCCTCAAAATCAGCACACTAGTTACTTTTTCTCAGAGCCTGCTTGAAACCCCTGCCACAGCAGAGCCACGCCCAGTACGCGACCCGAGGCAATGAGGCGGTTGAATTTGGGTCGCCATGCAGCACTGTCCGCAGTGACAGGCTCAGCATCGTCACCACCTACCAGAGAAAGCGTTCCCGAATTTTGGCATTAGCGTAGAGTTCAAATGTGAGTTTCGGCTGTCCACACCCAATTCAGGCAAAAATATGGGCGCATATTAAATGCAGAGATACTCGAGTATCAATTTCCAACATCTTGCAAGGCTTTTAATCGAATGTAACGTACTAGGTACTTGGTGTCAAGGCCCTATAGATATGTATATGATAGAAAAAAAAGCAAAGAGTTGACCGACGGTGTGGCTACATCTCTCGGTGCTCAAGCTGGAAATCCAACTCGGAGCCTGTCGCCGAGTAGCTGTACTAATTAAATATTGACCTTTAACCTATCCACCATCCAGCCAGTTTGACCTGACAACCGACCTAGGAAGGCGCCTGCTGTGCTGGCGACAGGAAGTTAGTCGGGCTGGTCTATTTGGGGCCGTTATCACGGTATGTTTAGTTGACCTCGTACGAATACACGTATACGGGGCCACGGGATGGTTCACTGGATCTGGCGCGGCCCAAAGGGGAATTGGCAGGCAGCCGGCAGGCAACCGAAGTGAACTGTCGTCATTGACACCTTGCCGCATATGTCGGCAGATCTTTGACCATCCAACATGAGATATGACACCGAGAAAATCCAGCAAGTTCATAATCTGCGTCTGCACGAATTACAGTATGTCCCACTCACACAGGCTGGGAAACGATGATACCCTTCGATCGGCCTCCCGCGTCTTGGAGGGGTCAACTTCCGACTTATCCTTTTTCACCAAACTTCTCCTCAGTCTTGTATTCTGGCCGAAGAAAGTAACTATCAAGTACTATGCAAGATGAGTTGTTTCATCGGAGAGGGGAACTTGCTTCATCAAGCGGTGGTCACGTATATGTCCTTCCCTCTTCGACATTCAATTTAATAGCCCGGAATGATACATAGAATTCCAGTGAGAGCTTTAATAAGAGAGGATATGGCCAGCTCACAACGTACATTTTCATATATCCCCTGTAGGTAATTACTCATTATAGCCAAGCATTGGCTTGACTCAGAGAGTCACTGGCAAGAGCACATGTACAAGTAGCACCGATAAGCCGAAAATAGGTCTTGAAGTAATCGCCGTAACTGATGACCGCTACGTTTTAAGCTGCGATCGGTTTCAGCCAAGTGGGATGTGAAATATTCCACCATTTCCAGCCCATTAGCCAGCCGCGAGGCTGCCCCTCAAATTGGTGATGAATTTTACCGGCGGCGGCAGAGTGGCTTTACCCTTCAGCTCGTCTCACTTATGACCTGATATGGACCTGCCACCACTATCACAGGCAAGTGCAGATCGAAAATCTCTATTCTTATCAGCTTGTACACCTGAGTACTTTCACATCAGCAGGTTGTTTGCGGTGGTCATTTTTGATATCCATCGTCCCATCCTACGCAGCTGAAAGTGTTGGCGCTAGCAGTTGGTGTTGAAATCAGCTGGCCTGAAACAATGTTCCACTAGTGAGCAAACCCGTACATCAGCCATGAACGCTTGCGGCTTAGCAGGAAGAGTTGGCGAGAAGTCTAGTCGTGGATGATCGTGGAAATCTGCTACTTAGCTAGATCTCAAGCAAGTGAGGTCTTGTTTAAACACTGATAAGGAAGAACTTCATAAATCCGGCCATAGCCTACATCTTACTCGTGGTCTTACTATGTCTAAATAACAAACCTCTTCACCTGTGATAGCCCCCGAGCCACGCCAATTCTCATAGTGTCGGATATATATCAATTGTTGTCCTCTACACATTGATCCTTTCATTCCATCGATATGGATATCGAGCCCTTGACAAATATCAAAGACGTTCTCTACCACTGGATTGAAAACGACGGGGCAACGAAACGGAACGGGGTGGTGAGGGGCGACCGTGTATTCGACACAATTCAAAACGCCTACTCCGAGAGAGGCGGGTGGGAGGGTTGGGCTCAAGTCGAGATCGCCCACATCATAAAGGCAAACTACACAAGCCTGAGCGTCACTCGCGAGGACGGGGTCTATGATGGCAATACCAAGCGATCAGATCTCGTACTGGATAACGGGTTCGGTACCCGTAACATCATCGAGCTCAAGTGCCAACGAGGCAGCGCAGATGCCAACCCGGCGTGGATTGTGCAGCAGGTCCTTGATGATGCACACAAGCTTCAGCAAACCCTTAAGCCTGAGTTCCGACCGGCCAAGTGTTTCGCGGTTGGCATTGCAGTCACGCCGGAAGCAATTGAGGCATTCAGAAACCCGGCTAATTGGCGCGGCGTCACATGCAACTGGCAGGCCTGCAAGAACAACCGCATCATTACATTCTGGGTAGAGACGGATGTTGAATAATAATTGGGGGGAAACATGACAAAGCAGATCGTTTTAGAAATTGGCGTAGAAGACATCAATCTCAACTATATTTCAGAATGTGAGAGTTATGACCATAAACATAAGACATGTCATCTTGTTGCAGTATTATATTGGAGCAATTACATCACCCGAAGAAGTCCTTCGAAATTGGTGATTTTAACTACCTATTCGGCTGGTCGCGATGTTCAGATTCTCAGGGGCATACCGAGCCTTCGTTGGATAGGGGTAGACGACCAGGAAGGAATTTGTTCTGTGCGATCACGGCGTCCTTGGATTCTCAAAGGAAACAGGGTCTTGATAAATTACTTATTGTTGCCCTTCACAAAATGACGCACATGAGTGATAACACTATCTAGCAGTTGGCGGGATGCTTAGGCACAGGTATTCAACCCAGCCAATGCCTGAGAGATGATCCTGCAGAGGAGTTCGAGCTATGGAATGAATCAGACTACCAGATCATCTTAGCATAAATACCATACAATGATGCTCGTCACCTTTCGTGGCCCAATAATGCTCATCCATCATATCTGCGCAGCAAGTAGAAGCAGTTGAGGACTTTACGTCTATGTTATCCTGATGGCGAGTCAGACTGGAAATACTTCACGTAGCAAGTGCTTGTATGTATTCATCGTTCATAAGTCATTTTCTTGAAACTTCCAGCATTGGAAGCACATTCTTCTAGCTAATTACAACGATTCAACCACAACGCCCAATGCCGCACTCGCTTCCTTGATCTTCTCCTCCTGCCAAGCGGCACTTTCTTCCGGCAGGACGAAACTTGAAAAGGCCTCGCCGGCATTTTGAATCAGAGTCTCGATACCCGGGCCATTCGTGAAGACGGTGGATCTCACGAACCGAGAGCCGTACTCCAATGTGAAGGCCTGTCCTGCAGAGACCAGGAGGGTCTGGCCCTCCCTGACCTCAGTCCATGAACCAGACTCCTTGAGCTTGACTCTCAAAAGACCCTCCTGAACACAGAAGCAGTGGTCCACCTCGGGGAACGTTAACCACCGAGCAAGCGGTGACTTCTCATATAGCTTTGAGGACTCGAGGCTGGTGATTGCGAACTTGCCACTGCACTGGGAGGCGTTGATGAACGGTCGTGAAAGAACACCACCCAAAATGTATCTGGGGCCGGTGTTGGCGCGGAGGAAGTACGGCTCCAAGGGGCCGGGGAGAACGTTTTCTGACTCTTGCCAGTCTGCGACTTCGGGAGGGGTGTAGTTGCGCTCAAAGTTTACATCAAACCGGTCCTTTGCGGCCATGACCTTGGGGATCAACAGGCTCTTCAGGTCGCGGTTGTCATTTTCTGGCACGATAATACCCTCGTACTGCTCCGCAACGTAGCGGAAGAAGTCAACCCAGTCTCCCGGTGCAACCAAGCCCAGGGTTTCTGTGTGAGGGCCGAGAAGCTCGGGGTTATGTACAACTTTCTGTTATCGAATTAGCTGCGAATGCCACAAGTGCGGAGTGTTGGTGAGACTTACAGGAGGAACATAGGCAAAGTCGCCAGGACCCATGATTCTGCACTTGTCGCCGTTCCATAGCTTCAAGTATCCCTTGGTCACCAGGAAGACGTCGTGCGCCTCGGCGTGCCAGTGGAAGCCAGGCGCATCAGACAGGACGGCACCGCTTGAGAAGACGGCGATGCCACCGTTGGTCTGTTTTGACGAGGCCAGAATTCTGAAGACACCCTTGCTACCTGGGATCGTGACGCGCTCACCCTCGAGCTGGTCGATAATGTAGCTCGTCCTGGCATCAGGAGGGGTGGAGAGAACGGGAATACTCATGTTGGGCAAGGTGATTGTGGGATTGTCCAATCAATGAAAAGAGAAGAAGTAATGCTGGGTGAGAAAATGTGAGTGGGGGCGTTTGTCAAGGGTCTAGATCTCTGGATCGTGGACACACAAATTGGAGACTTTGGAGTTGTTGAGGGGGTTTGCTGAAGATGGGCTCTGTTCACGTTCCGGGGATGCAAGAGGCGCCAGTCCAGCCTTTTACAGAGCTTCGCTTCCCCGCATTCTTACTCTACTTCGAATTCGACGGGAAACTATTTGACGCCGCCCACCGGGACCACATGTTTTGCTGCCCCTCGTAAAGGCCCCCCAGCCCGGCTTGTCAGTGCGGGAGTTCGGATATCCCGGCGACAGATCCGGAACAGCCCCGATACAGCAGCGGAAATCCCGTCGTTTCGAACAATTGTCAATGGAGTGGCCAACGTTCACGTTGCCACGCGGTCTCCGCCGCCCGGAAGCCCGGCTCGGTGGGAGATTCTAGCGAGCCTCGTGGGCCGCGTCTCCAGTTTGCTTCCCATTGTTAAGCTATCTAGGTTGTCCCCCGCCACATCATTACCCCGGACTTTCTTTGATTGCACTTTCTGCGTCTTCCTAATTATCACTGCCGCTGTCACTGCTGCTGTTACTCCTGAGGTCACGGTCACTGAGACAAAGCCACCTTACCAGCCAAGAACACAACCAACCAACAACTTTTTCGTCATGGCCAGCCCAACCTCTTTTCGTGCAGTCTACAAGACCATAGGGTCACAAGAGATCGATGTGGATGTCTATGCCCCGCCGCTTGGGGAAACCAACAAGGCAAAATGTCCGGTTGGTATGTACACTTACAACCCTTGCATGGCGGGCCGCACCAGAGGTCCAATGGAGCAACTTCGGACTAACAATCGTGTGTCTAGTCATCAATATCCACGGAGGAGCATTCCATCTCGGCTCCTCCAAGATGGTCAACAAGGACCAAGTAGCTGACTGCCTCAGCAGAGGCTGGATTGTCATAGCCCCAAATCATCGTCTGTGCCCTCAAGTCACGCTTCTAGATGGGCCGATGAGAGATTGTCGTGACCTCCTGGGATGGGTGTATGATGGTGGCCTTCAGAAGGCCCTTGACGCTATTAATGCTGATGGATCATATGCCGTTGACACTGACCATGTCTTTGCGTTTGGAACGTCGTCTGGTGGCACTCTATCTCTTGCCTTGGTAAGTTCATGCATCTTAATGTCTGCAGGTCATTACAATTACCAGATTCAATCCAAGCTAATACCAGGGTCACATTACAGGGCTTTGGAGTTGACCGTCCCGTTGCTGGTATTTATGACATGTACGGGCCTAGCAACTTCACACACGCGTTCTGGGAGAAGCCGTTGCCGCACGTGGCAGCAAAATTGCCCAAAGGTCTCACAAAGGAGTTCATGGACAAAGTCTTTGACGAAGACCCAGTGCCCATCCTCGGAGGCGTGTCACTGGAAGGTCAAGCGCCGGGGCCGCCCAACTTTGATGACCCGAGACAGGCGTTCGCAATGACACAAATAGCCACCGGCAATGTCATGAACACCATTGTTCCTGACAAGAACTGGGATGCGGTCGACCCCATCAGAAACATCACTCCCTCTTTCCCGCCGACTTTCATCGTGCATGGACAGGCGGATACCATGGTGCCTCTTGAGCTTAGCCAAGATTTGATCAAGGTGCTGAAGGAAAAGGGGGTCAAATCTGAGCTGAGGGAAATTCCGGGCGAGGAACATACGTTTGCCGCCAAGATGAAGGTGGGATCCCAGACTTGGAATCTTCAAAGAGAAGGCTTCGACTTTTTGGAGAGCTTGATAAAAAAGTGAACCAGGGGCAAAAAAAAGGAGTTAGTTGAGCGGAAGCTAACGTAGTCAATGTGAAATGGACTCATCTGGCTCAAAAACTAACAACATGACAATTGCAAATCCGATTGAGAAACGTGGTTGGCTGCGTCAAATGAGACTCTCAGCTTCCGTTGAGCCGTAAATCATCCAAACTGTCAGTCATCGAGTTCATGCATGAAGTTCAGACTATACGAAACTCAATCGTGAATTCGGATGATCCGTACATGTGTCTGTAGTTGTAGTGTGTCTCGGTGTAATTGACAGCGGGAAGTAAACAACGCAAAACCTGATACGCAAATCCAATACTCGACCAAGAAGAGAAATACTATGGATAACAAAGTGCATCAGCTGCACACTTACGTGTCAAGCGTGACAGAAACCTAAGCCACCCACTCTTTCATGTGCCGGTCAAAACGAGTTAGCACCATCCGGGGTCCCCGCCACCCTAAAGTGTTGAAGAAAGTCTGGGGTGCAGCCGGGAACTCCGACCCATGCCCGGATCGATCCCGGTTCCAGCGTTCGCCAGGAGTCCTCAGTGCAACTGCAAAGTCGGTCAAAGTTTGATATAACCCTCCGAGTCTACTTTATCCATCAGCCCATCTGAGTTCTGGCATCGACTGACAGACATCCCATCTCATCAGCATCCCCAAATCGGCAACTCGAGTCACCGACATCCCGTCTTTGACAACTTCAGACCTCTTTGCCACCCCTGCCACTGTGCATTACGCTGGAACGTAGGCACATTTTCGAACCAGACTCCGGGTCGGCGTAACTCCATCGCCGACAGAAGCAACCCCGCGACGACCACACGGTCGTAGAGTTCTAATTCACAATGGACTCATCACCTACTTCGCCTCGCGATGACATTCGCAAGAGCGATGTTATGATCGACAAGGTCGATGTTCAGCACAATGAGGAGGTTTTGCGTGAGGCTGATCGCCACATGAGCCCCATGAAATGTCTTTGGGACAACCCAAAGGTGTTGCTGTGGACTATCTATGCCAATTGTAAGTAGTTGATCTAATAGAAACTTGTTAACTCGACTAACTCTGGGAATTCAGTTGGTTCAACTTTGATTGGTTTCGAGAACTTGGCGCTCTCTGTATGCTTGGCCATGCCGGCATTCCAGTAAGTCCTTCCACCCCCTTTAAGACTATAACGAGAGATAAGAGAACTAACCACTGTGTTTCTCCAGAATGACCTTTGCATCTGAAGTTAATGGAACACTCATTATCCCCGCCTACTGGCAATCAGCCTGGAGTGCGATGTACAATGTCATGATGTTGTTCGGCTCTCTCTTTGCCGGTTACATGCAAGATTGGTTCGGTCGTCGCTCAGTCTTTGCCTTGGCCTCAGTCATTGCTTCCGCCGGTATTGCCATCAGCTACGTCTCCGTGACACCACCCGAGTTCTTGGGCGGCAAGATTGTCACTGGTTTCGCTGTTGGTCTCTTGACTTCGACTACGCAGACATACGTTTCCGAGATTGCACCGCTTCCTGTTAGAGGCATTTGCTTGTCTATCAACACTATCATGCTCGTAAGTCTTCTCAATGTCTTTAGTTAGGTACAATTTGCAGGATATAACTCTAACACAAAACGCAAACAGAACCTTGGCATGCTCAGCGCCATCGCCGCTAGCTTTTCCCGCGTTGCCATCATGGACAAGGCTGCCTTCCGTGTCGTCTTCGCTGCCGCATGGACATTCCCCGGCCTCATCCTCCTCGGTCTCCCCTTCGTCCCCGAATCGCCCACCTGGCTCGTTTTCAAGAACAGGCACGACGCCGCCCGCAAGGCACTAGAGAGACTCTCCGGCCCGAACGATGACATCGATGCGCGCCTCGGCCAGATTATCGACAACGTCGAGACTGAGCGTCGCCTGCAGATGGAGGCCGCTTCCTACCTGGACTGCTTCAAGGGCACCAACTGGAGACGCACGCGCATCATCCTCATCTGCTTCTATATCCCCCAGGTCGCCGGTGCCGTGCTGTCTTCCAACGCCCCCTACTTCCTCAACCAGACTGGTCTCTCTAGCAAGACTGTCCTCCTGCTCGTTCAGGTCGGTATCGCGGCTGGTGTCGTCTCTGCCATTGTCAACTCCATCATGATGGGCAGACTCCGCCACCGCCCGCTCCTGTTCTTTGGTGTCTGTATCTGCGTGGCCATGTACTTTACCATGGGTGTCGCTGCCGCATTCCCCAAGACCAACGCCTCGCTCTTGACGATTGGAGTCTCGCTTGTCTTCACCTCCATCTCCTACGGACCCGCAGTGGGTGCCTCCATGGCCGTAGCCGGCGAGGTCTCCGCTTCAAAGCTCCGCGCCAAGTCGCTTGGTATCGGCTTCGCCTTCTCCTCTATCGTGTCCACCATTTGGACCATCATCCTGCCGTACCTCTTCAACCAGGACGAGCTCAACATGGGCGGTCACATTGGGTGGATCTTCTTTGTCATGGGCATTCTCATGTTGGTGGTTCTCTACTTTGATGTTCCGGGCACTAAGGGACGCACGTTTGAGGAGTTGGATATCATGTTTGAGCAGGGCATCTCGGCGCGCAAGTTTGAAAGCCACAAGCTCAACTTGGGTCCTGTGGACACCAAGTGAGTTGTTTGTGTGGCCGCGGCCCGCGGGATGTTGCCGACAGACGCGTGTGTGTGCGTTTAGTTATGGGCCCTATCTCCTGTTTTGGGACGATTTTTGTTTTGAGTTTCGAAGACTGTTTTGGTAGAGAACTGGAGCTGAGAAGAAGAAAAAAAAAACTCTATAAGCGGGTCTCGCCGCAGTTGCTTCAAAAATCCTTGTGTCCTGCAATCGCAGAAGAAAAATCCACAATTGCTTGTTGATCAACCTTCTTTTGTGACAGTGAGTCCTAACCATCTGCACGTTTTCGGCCCTTCTCGATCGATGCAACACTGGCGGCAAAGCCGACGTAAACAAATCGGAATTCCCGGATATAAGTGGAGTTTCTGTAACCCCGCACAGAGGGGAACTCATCGTTAGTAAGCAGTGAATCCTGGGAATCACAGAAAGAGTTGATTGGAATTGTCCGGATAGAAGGCATGAATGGGCCAATGTAGGGAGCAGAGAAGCAGTACACACCGACGTTGAATGTTCGTCTGATAGAATCCGGGAATAGGAGGCAGATCGAATGGAGCTGGTTCATTGATAATACGCCGAGTTATGATTTTGTTTCTCTGGACCATCGGTTCCCCTTTTTTTTGTGCGTGACTCAGTCGCATTGCCGTGATCACAGCCCAATCCCACATGAGGTTGCTCCTGAGTCAACTCCAATCTATCACAAAGTGACAAAGCTCTTGTTTTAATCCGTTCCAAAGCTAGGAATGCTTGATCTTAACAGGACATCCCCGAAGATCGGGAGACTAGGGTATCGGCTGACCAAGCTTACCAATAGAGACACACGCAATTTGCTTGAAGAACCTCTTCCCCAGTCTCCCTCGATCCGTCTCCCTCACCCCCCAACCCCCCTCCTCCTAGTCTCTATCCGTAGCCTCATTGCTGCCCTCTCTCCCTGAACCTTCTCCCCGGCGTTACTACTCTACCCCACAGAAGATTCCCCGCATCTGCTTGCCGTCCGTCGTAGTACTTTGTGCGGGGGTGGAGGTCGATCGTTTGGAGCGCGCGTTCCCACGTTCCTGCGGCACCGGCAGCGTTTCGGATGCGCGCGGCGAGCACAGCAGGCGGGCTGTTTTCACACCTTTTTCCTGCATAACGCATACCCAGCTTTCCCATCCACCAAAAAGATCTCCATCGACAAACGAAAGGCTGCGGGTGTTCCGGTTCTGAAGTCATCGAACATCTGATTCTGGCCTGATACTTTTCTCTACCTCAGCCGCTTTTTCTTATTTGTTCTTGGTTCATTCTGTGCCTATGGAGGCCGCCGCTGCTGCAGAGACCCAGCGCACGACGCAGAACTCGGGGATCAAGGTCCGTCGCCCCCGGGCCGCCCGCGCATGCGATCTCTGCAGGGCAAAGAAGAACAAGTGCGATGAGTTGTATCCTTGCACCTACTGCAAGAGTATGTTTGTCCATGACGATGATGAGATCTCTCTCGCCAAAAATGCCTCAATGGGAAGGGTTCTTAGTGCTAACCGCGGAAAACTAGATCGGAATGCGACATGTGTCTACAAAGGCCAGGATATGTCAAGGAGGCTCTACACTCCAGAGTATGCGCTCCCTTAGAAACTGAATTTTGATCTCTTTAGCTTACCTCAGCGGCAACTCTTAGATATGTGAGACAACTAGAAGAGCAGGTTAAGAGCCTTTCCGCAGTCGCCGAGTCGGTGAAGGCTCAGTCAGTCGATGACAATGCCTCGGTAACCGCCACCGTCCCCGAGATATCAGAGGGATACTCCCCGGACTGCAGCCTCCAGAGACGGCCTTCACGGAGCACCGCCGCCGGCTCGCCATCAAACGCTCGGTCAAGGAACGCGGCCGGCCAAGAGATCTCCGGTGTCAACCGGCACACGCGGAACGTAGAGTTCTATGGCAGCTCATCTTCCGTCGCTCTACTCTCACACGTCCAACGAACCGGCGATGAACCAGTCATCTCCCCGGACCTAGACTCCGACGCCGGAACCCTCCTATCAAACCTGCACAACCCGGCCTTCTCGTCGCCCTCGGCAGACCAGACCCAGACGCCCGCGGCCGCCACCGAGCCGAGGTCGGCCGTGAGACCGGTGACGCACTACCCGCAGTGCCGGCACTTTCTCCAGAGCTTCTTCTCTAGCATACACTTTGTCCATCCGATCCTCGACAAGAAAATCTTCTTCGATCGGTGCGAGGAGTTGTGGTCGAAGCCGGACGTTGCGCAGCAGCCCTCGAGCTTTGTTGCGCTGTATTACAGCATATTGTCTCTGGGCGCACTCATTGGCGTCCGGGAGGATGAGCCGATTGATGGAATTGAAAACCTGCAGTGGAGCCGAAAGTTCTTTGACGAGGCGAAGAGGCGGTGCGATCAGCTGGGGATGGTTACGGACCTAGAAATGGTTCAGTGCTATGTCTTCTTGGTGAGTCTATAACTTCCCCAACTCAGAAGGCTTGACACTGACATTGTTGAAAAGGCCAAAGTGTGTCAGAACGAGCTCAATGCTCACTGTAAGTGTTTGATGATGTTGAAAACTTTCCTACTCCCCTAACTTCCGAACAGGGGCATACATGTACGTCGGTCTTGCGGTGAGAACAGCACTTGCGATGGGTATAAATCGAGAGCCTGGGCCCGACGTCAAGAAGGAGCCAGCTGAACTTCGAGCCGAGTCAAGAACGTGGTGGTAAGGATGCCAAGCCATGAGAGAGAGATGTAGATGACTGACGAATCTGAATAGGGGTCTCTATTCATTAGAAACGTAAGAATCTTGTACAGAACAAGGGTTCGGCTTATGCCGAGATGTCGGAAAGAGATACTAACCTTCTCTCCTAGAGAAATGTCCTTCTCGATGGGTAGACCAGACACACTCGGCGCAGATTTATACCACAACCGACTATTCCCTGTCATTGGCGAAGCAGACACAGAATATTCCGGCAGTCTAGAGCTGGTGGACCCACCCTCATGCGCCATCATCAAAAGTATGGTAGACTACTCCAAAATCATCCGGAGCATCTGCTTGGGGATCTATCTCCCGGAGACGACGGTACCACGAACCGTCCACCTGGCGCACCAAATCGACCAGGATCTGCAGAGATGGGCGGAAAGTCTGCCTGAGCCTATCCGCCCTACCACATCGGTCGAGCCGCGGTCGCTGAAGAGCGTCAAGGAGGCTCAGTGGATGAAGAGGCAGAGGCTCGTCTTGACTATGCGTGAGATTTAACCCTTGGTATCGCTTGCGGCTGAGTTCTTGGGCTTTATCTAACAATGCCCTGCAGGGTTTCTCAACATAAGGATACTCCTCTTTGGGTCGATAATTCTTACATCGACCTCGGCTGAGCGAGCCTCCATCCCGGGCTCGCAGGAAGGCATTCACCTATGCCTTGAGTCTGCGAAGCAGACCATCGAAATCATTTATCAGACATACCAGCATCATGACTTTTTCCGCACATGGTCAGTGCTACTTCCGATCTTGTTTATGATCGGTTTCTGAGAACGTCCTGCTAATCCCACGGTCTCACAGGTTTTACAACACCACATACACTGTCTTCGCAGCATCCATGATTCTAGTTTACGTGACACAAGAAGCGACAGAGCCCGAGGTGCAGCCTTTATTAAAGCTAGTCGGCATGGCCATTGAAATACTTGAGACTATGGATGAGTGTGTCGTCGCGTTGAGGTCGGCCAAATTATTACACAAGGCCATTCAAAAGGCGGAAAAGAAGTTTTCTGCATCGACCCCCGCGGATTTACAGATTCCTGCGATGCCACCGGCTGATGCAATGCTCCAACTTAATCACTATTGGGGCCCCTTGAACATTCTGGACAACGAGATGGATTTTGGATTCGCGATGCAGTTTGCGGACTTTGAGGGGACAAATTCGCTGTTTATGGCGCTCGATGATCCAAGATCAATGCAATAGATGCCGATCAAATGATACAATTGAAAAGATGACACATCTCCCCTTCCAGAGATTCCGAACATCTTGAGGTCACGTATGAGCGTACTCTAACTTCAGCCACTGCCTTGAGCCTTCGTCGACATTGGTCCTGTTCAATCAAATGACCGGTCATGTCTACTGGATACGTGTATCCAAAAACAAATATTGGCCATGCCTCAGCTATTACAAGCGAAAATGGGCCAACGTGACAACTCGGCGATGTTGTTTTGGAGAACTGCCGGCCATCATTGCCACAAACGCGTCTTTGGGCTTTAAATAGCGTGCATATGACCCCGGAGATTCCCACAACGCTGAAAAGCCGACAATAATGGGGGGGACCATTTGACTCTCCGGAAAAGCCGAAGACGACACGAGCCTCAACGAGGGGCAAGCCGCCGCAAACCATACTAATGCTGACAACTGAGGGGCGGTATGTGGGGGGTTTTGGAGAAACCGATCTGATCTCGCGGGGAGCCTTGCACTCTTGGAGGAGGGGAGATTCCGGGGTCGGAGAGATCGGTCGCCTTTGGCCGACATTTTTACATCATTACATGGGGAAGTGTGGAAAGCTAGCAAGTGAAATCCGGGGTTCACGATCTTTTGTAGCATGGGACAATAACGATTGTGATCCCAGAGAGTTCTCATCTAAAAAGCCTGAGCTGCCATTGAGTTTTGAGTTGACGTTCTTCAGCAACCCCAAGACATCCTCGAGCGACCTCAAGACCGAACAAGTTATTTCCTCCGACCTGTCACTTTTGCCCTTCCAGACCAACATTGTCAAATCTCCAAATTACCACCTTCACATTCACCATCATGGGTTCTAAGGTTGACGACAGAGACTTTACGGCCCTGCTGCCTGAGCTCACGCTCGAGGAGAAAATTGCTCTCCTCTCCGGCTGTGACTTTTCCACAGCAGCAGGTGTCGCTCGCTTGAACATTCCTCCCACAAAAGTAAGCTTACCTCGAGATCCTACGCGCAAGCCAGGAGCAGAGGCGAAGGAGGAAGCTGACATGGAAACTTCAATCAATAGCTAGCAGATTCAATCGCCGGCGTGCGCCCCTCAGGAATCACAGCCGACCTCACAACAGCATGCTTCCCCAACACAGCCTGCCTCGGATCGACCTGGGACGCCGAGCTCCTCGGTCGCCTAGGCGAGCGCCTCGCCCACCAAGGCCGCGAGAAGAGTGTGCAGGTCATCCTGAGTCCGACGATCAACATTCACCGCGATCCCCGCGCAGGACGCAACTTTGAGTGCTTCAGCGAGGACCCGTTGCTGTCTGGACAGCTGGCGGGTGCCATCGTCAATGGTATCCAGAGCCAGGGTCTCGGGGCCTGCCCCAAGCACTTTGTTTGCAACGATTCGGAGACGCTGAGACACTTTTACGATGTTGATGCTTCGCCTGATAGTCGGCCGCTGAGAGAGATTTACATTGCTGCATGGCAGCACTTGCTGCGAACGTCCAACCCGGCTGCTATCATGACTGCGTAAGGCCCTCTCTATGGTTACATACCTGCACTACATGCACCTATGAATCTTGGAAGTCTGTACTGACGATTATTTGACACAGGTACAACAAAGTTGACGGCACATTCTGCAGCGAACACGGTCCCCTCATCGAAGGCGTCTTGAGAAAGGAGTGGGGCTTCGAGGGCATTGTCATGTCTGACTGGTTCGCCGTACACAACGTGGTCGAGCCCGTCAAGGCCGGTCTCGACCTCGAGATGCCTTTTCCTGTGTTCAGAGGCAAGAGACTGGCCGAGGCCGTGCGATCGGGCCAAATAACCGAGGCGGAGATCGATGCCAGGGCGATCAAGATGCTCGAGCTCCGAAATCGCACGCGGACCAGCTTCAACGACGAGCCGGAAAGATCAGAAATCAGCGAGGAGACAAACAAGATCTCCAGGGAGCTCGCGGCGAGTGGTATCATCCTGCTCAAGAACGATAACCAGGCTCTGCCCATCAACCCGGCGGACAAGCCCAAAGTTGCCCTCATTGGCGAGTTTGCTGGATCTCCCGTCGTGACTGGCGGTGGAAGCGCGTCTTGCACACCGCAGTACCGTCACTCACCGTTCAAGGTGTTGAAGGAGGCCTTCTCCGGGGAAGAGAGCGTTCGCTACCACGCTGGTGTCCGCACACGCAGGGTCATCCCCTTGGTCCCCACCGCGCAGCTCACAGCGCAGGATGGACGCCACGGCATCGACGTGAAGTATTACAATGATGACACCCCGGAGCCGACCCTCACTGAGTTCCAGGAGAAGTCCAACGTCTGGATGCTGGGCGAGTTCAAGGGCGGCCTAAAGGTCCCTGGCTCTCGTATCGAGCTCTTGACCAAGCTAACGCCCCAGACAACTGGCGAGCACACTCTCGCGGTGCAGGCTACCGGTGACTTCTCTCTCGTCGTCGACGGCAAGGAGATTCTATCTGGTCCTCAGAAGGAGATTGCCACGGAGCAGTTCATTTTCAACCACGTTAAGCTCGAAACTCGCGTGCAGCTGCAGATGAACGCTGGCCAAGCTTACGACATCAAGCTAATCAACAAATCGTGGGATCACCTCGTCAAGGGCGAGCCCACTCCCTACGCAGCATCGATCGGCTTCGAGGAGCATCGCTCCGACGAGGCCGCTATTGCCGAGGCCGTGGAACTTGCCAAGACCTCGGATGTGAGCATCATCTACGCCGGCCGCAACGAGCAGTACGAGTCGGAAGGATACGATCTGGAAGACATTCGCATGCCAGAGAACCAGACGGCGCTGATCAAGGCCGTCGCTGCCGTATCTAAGAAGACGGTCCTGGTCCTACACTGCGGCAACCCCATTGACGTCAGCGCCGTCGTGGACGACGTTGACGCGGTACTCAACGCCCACTTCCCCGGCCAGGAGGGCGCGCAGGCGACAGCGGATATCCTCACCGGCGCAACGAACCCCAGCGGACGCCTCGCAACAACGTGGTTCAGGACGCTTGAGGACGCGCCCACCTATGGTGATTTCCCCGCCACCAAGCAGGAGGACGGCACTCACAAGTTCCGCTACGCTGAGGGCCTGGGTATGGGATACCGTCACGCCGAGGCCGCGAAGCGCTCTCGCTTCCCCTTTGGTTACGGCCTTTCTTACACTACCTTCACCCTCTCTGACCTCACGACGAGTGTGGTGGGGGCAGACAAGGACGCGAAGCTCAAGGTGTCTGTAAAGGTGACCAACTCGGGATCCCGCGCCGGAAAGGAGGTCGTACAGCTCTACGTCAACCCAGCAAAGGAAACGCCGGCCGCTGTCTGGCGACCGGAGCGCGAGCTCAAGGCCTTCAAGAAGGTCCTTGTGCAACCTGGCGAGTCGACGGTGGTGGAGCTTGAGGTGGACGCCAGAATGGCGTGCAGCTACTGGGATGAGGCGGAGAAGGCTTGGAGACTGGAACGGGGAACGTATGGCGTCCGGGTCGGAGATCTCCAGGGTGAGTTCTCGATCAGCGAGGGAACGACTTGGGGTGGGCTGTGAAGTGTGAAGAAGTGATTGCTTGGTGTGTGGCGTGTGACACGAAGGAGGCGGCCCCGTGTTCTAGACCCTGGCTAAAGAGCCATTGATATTTGTAGTTTGTGTGCTGCGGCATTGTATGTTATTGGAATACCAGTACCTAATCTGTCATCAAGTCTTCAAAGTATCTAGCGCCAAATGGCATGCCTTTCATCGTCGCTCCCGGTAGGATATCGTCCCGAGGCGGATCAACGTCAACCACCAAAGCTCAAGTGAGACATTGGGCGGTGCTGATAACGCGCCGTGCCGATTCCCCTCGATAGCTACCGCCACCAGACCTTTTTTTTCCAGATCGAAGTGCGATTCTTACTAGGTATTCCAGTCAGCCATGTCAATATGGTGGTATTAGACGTCGAGCAAGCATAGTAAGGCGATCAACCATGCTGGTGATTAAGATATCAGTCAGCAGATCATAGTGAATGATCTACGTTTACTCACCAGGCATCTTGTCGACTGGCACTCTTTCGCAACAAAAGCTCGGCCGACGTCTCACGATGGGTACCCGAACAACTCGGTATCGGTCCCCCCCCCCCCCCCCATGATCGAGTAATGAACGACATCATCAACCACCGCAGCGTAAGGTATTTGATCCCATCTTTAGAGGTATATGGCCAGGGGAAACCCAACACCACACCACTTCGTTGCCAGTGTCCACGCGCGCCAAGGGGTCAGTGCTGGCTTTGATGTGCGCACTCACTCAATGGGACTGGGCCAGATATGATTCTCAAGAGCATCCGGCCCGGATTCGGGAGCTGTATGCTCGGAGCGGGCGCCAGATCTACCTGCTATGTGACAGCACTGCCTGCTCGCGATCATGAAAGCCCTGGTCCGGTCTCATTCACACATCATCATAGCCAAGAGACACGTTTTTGGCAAAGGCAAAGCCAATGAACCACGGGTGACTCAGGCGGAATCTACACCTAAACATGACCTAATCTCAAAGCATCGACGCCCACCTACAGAATCGACACCAGCATTGATCCTAGTTCCACAAGCTCCCACCAAATATCCGAGACCTCCTCATCCCATTTCGGCTGAATATTCCAACTAATCATTAAACAGCCTAGCCTGTTTTCCTCCTTCGCAGCCTGTGCGTTGACGCCCCATCCCACCGCTTCGGGGCCAGTGCCCTGTTTGATTCCTGAATCTTAGGCATGACGGGAGTTTAAACCTCCTTCAATCTACGATCCAATGGACATCAATACTACCGTACCGTACCAGGCAACCTCTTGCGGTAATACGGTAGTACACCATTGAGGAGGGGAAAAGAGAGACAGACTTCAGATGATCCGCACGTCCTCAACTACAGAGAAGCTTGGATATTGGCGGAGAGTATGCCTCTTACTCTCATCCTCAAGGTGGTGCCATTGCCTTTGAAGAGGTACGGATGTTTCTTGGCTTTTGCTGCATGTGAGTGACTCTTGTCTCCCACTCTTCCCCTCCACCACAGACTTCCTATCCTGGGAACTGGCGTTCTTAAGCAAATCAAGCACTGCACAATTGGCAAATCTTGTTCCATCCCATCAACTTGGACTTTCGGCTTTACACTGTCGAAACGGAGTTTAGTTGCCCATCACCTCATACAAACAGGAAAGCCCACCACCCTCATCGTCACTTTGGTTTCGTCTCGTCCCGCCCAAGCCTGTCTTATCTAGGTACTTACCTAGTCCACCTTTCCTTGGTGTAGCCGGTAAATTCGTACTAACTTGGACGCCGGACGGGGACGCCTTTTTTTCGTGGCGTACAATGCCCTTGCAGTTCCCCAGGGCTGGATGGACGCCTTCTCCGGGACTTGTTCGCTATGACTTGAACTAACCCAAAGAGACTCCCAACATCGGATTAGCCTCACCACCTTCGCTCTTTCATTGATATGCCGTGCCATCTGCCCCCTTTTCCCCTACTGCTCCTTGGTTTCATTCATTCACCCAAACGCAAGAGACAGAAACGAGTCCCACAATAGCTCACGGCCAGGACCCACGATCATAACGCAGCCCTACGGGACTACGGGAACTGGATCGTACGAAATACATCAGCCCGGCTCGAAAGCGGCCCCCCCTGTCGGACGAACGTCGCGGACCCGCGCGGCGATGATCGCACGGCCCCACGGCGACGGCCACGGCTCGGTCGCATCACGAAGTAGACATGGATATGGAGGTGGAATCAGATATTATTGAGGACGGAGGCGCGCCGGGGTTCCCTCCCCACGGAAAGGCCGTTATAGCTTGCGCGACCATATCGGCCGGACTCGCTGGTCTCATCGTCGGCCTGCGTTTCTTTGCACGATTATACCCGGCTCGGTTATTAGGAAAGGAGGATTGGTGCATATTTATCGCATGGGTATGTCTAGACTCGAGATCACGGCCCAACATGGATGTGAAGGGCAGATGCGATGGCAACCGAGATACCGGATATCTTGAGACCCCTTGGCAATGCATTGATAATTTGGATTGGGCTGATTACTTTGGCTGAATAGCTTTTCTCAGCTGCGACGTCCATTGGCATGTGCCTTCGTAAGTTGATATCGAGTCTCCAATTGCATGAACAGTATGACTGACACGGCACAGAGGTTAAAACGGGCATGGCCGAGGAATTCTCGACTCTGAGCGTCTATCAACAACAGACCTTTTTCAAGGTATGAGAACCCCGAACTCAGTATCCATGACAGGCTCCAGCTAACTCTCCCGAACTATAGTGGGCATACTTAACAATAATCTTCTACAACACTGGCCTCGCCTGCGTCAAGGTCTCGATCCTCCTTCTCTACCTACGAATCCTCAGAGACCTCAATTACCGCAAGGCATGCTACGTGGTCCTATTCATCGTGGTGTGCGTGTCGCTATGGACGGTCCTATCCTCGATATTCTTCTGCGTACCCATCACCAAGAATTGGGACCGCGCTGTTACGGGCGTCTGCTTCAGCCAGGGCATCGCGTGGTTCGTCAATGCCGCTCTGAATATCCTTACCGACTTTATGATTCTCATCCTGCCATTACCCATCCTGCCCAAGATCAAGCAGTCCCGGCGGCAGAAGATTGGATTATACCTCATCTTTGCGCTTGGGTTTTTGTAAGTTGCTCTCGGCACCCCATGTTGTTAGCAAAGTCATTGGACTAACAGCCATCTCAGCATCTGCGTCGTCTCCATCCTCCGAATACCATCCTTGATCGCCGCGAAATATTCCCGCGATCCAACATTAGACAGCCCGGGCATCGCAAAATGGTCTGTCGTAGAATTAAACACAGCCATCGTCTGCGCTAGCCTCATCACACTCAAGCCACTAGCCATGCGCTTCTTCCCCCGTATGCTGAGCCCCAACCGCGGTGACGTTGCCCCACAGCACGGTCCCGGATCCGAAGAGATACCTGCGACTGTCGGGTCCAAGGAAGCGCGAAACGGGGGCGCGAAGCACGGCCACGCGCGGGTAGTGTCTGACGGTAGCACCATCCAGCTCAACCACGATACCTTTGGAGGGGATTCCGTGATGCATACGCAGCATACGCAGAGCTCGCGACTAAGTTCTGCGGGCACGTCGGACCTGGAGCAGGGGATGAAGGGATCGGCTGTCGAACTGGAAGGAGAGTTGGCGATACGAACGGATAAAGCATGATTGGACATACCATTATAACCAGATACCACTTTATTTTACGCTTTTGTATTTTAAGAAACGGGTAATAACCATATTTGTCTGACGCTAGCTGGCCGAGGTCAAGTTCGCGATGATCTTCTCGTACCTGTGCACGTGCCGTGATGTGTCTTGGCTCGCAGGGATCCGGGTCCGTTGATCGCAAAATTCAGCAGGTCTGTCATCCCTCCTCGGACAGGCCCCTCAACTACTTGTGCCTTATTCGTACTACCTTGGGACGGATTGGTCCGCTTAACATCGTGGGAGAATGCCATTCTGGACAAGATGGTGTTTAATCAACGTCAGAGCGATGACATAGGCTAAGACTTTCACCATTCTGCCAAACAGCCGGCATTCCGTGTTAAAGTCGGGAGCTGCCCCTGTTCACGGTCATGGATTAACGTTGGGAGCTCGTATTCCTTCATCTCGCTATCCCGCTAGTCCCGAAATTCCAGCAGCATCCCCTGCTTCTCGATATTGCTTGCCTTGAGAAAACACCGAATCGCCTTATGAATGCGTTGTTCAATGTCACCTCAGTGGATCATTCCCGCTGCAATGCGACAAAAATCACCGCGGGATCCAAGATGCGCGACGGACCTTATTGGGCAGGTGGGATGAACGACATGCCGTGCTCCTTGGCAAAAAAGGTCTATGGATATTTCGAAGAGATGTGGAAAGACTTAATGCCTTCGCGATGGCCATTCCTGAGGTAGTCGTGCACTCTCTGTTGTAGCATCTGCACAACCCTCACACTCGTTTCTGGATCTTCTTTCCCACCGGAGCCATGCGCGTAACAGGAACAGCCGTCGCAGCTTTGCTCTTCGGAGCCGCAGAGGCTCTCCATCAATTCGCGCCCCGGTCTCTCAACGACACCACCGGTCCCAGCGACCCGGCGCCGAAGCGGTACATCGTCGAGTACAAGTCCCGCGCCCACGGTTCTCGCGTCGCCGCGAAAGTCGCTGCCGGGTTTCCGGGTCTCCGTGTCGTGAAGCAATTCGACTCTGACATTTTCCCCGCCGTCACAGTCGAGTGCGATGGAGGATGCAGCCCCGAGTCCGTGAAGAGCGCGCTTGACGACGGCGACGAGCCTGTTGTTGCAACGGTCTATAAGTCTCAGGTCATGCAGATTCTTCCCACTGTCGAGGGCGAATCGTACAGCGATGATGCGGCGGCGCTGAACTACTCCGTTCATGGACTCACTGGAGTTGAGAAGCTTCATGAGAATGGAGTCTTGGGCGAGGGAGCTATTGTTGCCATCGTTGACAGTGGTGTTCAGTACACTCATCCTGCCGTCAGTACTTAAACTCCCTCAGAATTGACTGCAGATAGTTGACCATATGTAGTTGGGAGGTGGCATTGGTCCCAACTTTACCGTTGCTGGAGGCTACGATCTTGTTGGTGATGCTTGGCCTAATGGGCCAGCTCAGCCGGACGATGACCCCATGGACAGATATGGCCACGGAACTCATGTTGCCGGTATAATTGCAGGGAAAAGCGACCAGTAAGCAGCCCCAAGTTCCTGTCTACTCAAGAAACACGTCTAACTCTGATCAGGTTTGTTGGCGTAGCTCCTAGTGCCAAGCTGTTGTCGTTCAAGGTGTTTGGCAGCAGTGGCTACTCCAATGAGGAGACCGTTATCGAAGGCTTCCTGAAGGCATACGACTCTGGGGTAAGTTGATGGAGGTTACTTGCCACCACGGGAACCGACTAACACTGCGCCTAGGCTGATATCATCAGTGCCAGCGTTGGAGAAACCAGTGGCTTTACAACTAATGCTCTCGCTGTCGTCGCATCTAGAATTGTCGACAACGGCGTCGTAGTCGTCTTTGCTGCTGGCAACTCTGGACAGGATGGCCCTTTCGACATGGCAAATGGAGCATCAGGTGAACATGTCCTGACCGTGGCATCTTCTGACCCGGGAGTGTTCCCTGCTCAAGCCTTTTCCGCCAAGTTCAACTTGAACGGCAGCTCCAACAAGACGGAGATCGCCTACATCCCGGGATCCGGCTTCTTCCCGGACACTATCGTCGAGTGGCCCATCAAGCCCATTACTCTCAACTCTTCTGTTGTCAATGACGCATGTCAACCTCTCCCAGCGAACACGACTTCACTCAACAATACCGTAGTCCTCGTCAGAACCGGCGGCTGCACCAACACCGTCAAGCACACCAACGTTGCTGCCTTTGGTGGCCGCTTTGTCCTCTTCTACAATGACGACGGCCCGTACAAAAGCGCTGTAAGCTCCAACCTCACAGGCCTCACTGGAGCCATCGAAGCAAACGCCGGCGAGGCCATCATTGCCACCATCCTCGACGGCGGCAACGTCACCGCCTCTTTCGACATCTCCACCGCCCACTACGTCGGTCTTCGTAACGCAGGAGGCGGACGGCCATCCTTGTTCTCCTCGTGGGGCAGCACCTACGACCTCGCCCTCAAGCCCGACGTCGCCGGCCCCGGCACAAAGATCCTTAGCACCTACCCGACGAACGAATACCGCGTGTTGAGCGGCACAAGCATGGCGACTCCCTACATCAGCGGTGTTGCCGCGCTGTGGGTGGGCAAGTTCGGTGGCCGGGCCGCGCACAAGGATGACCCGGGATGGGCTCGCCGACTCATCGCGCGGATTACGTCGACTGCGCACGCCGTACCGTGGGCTGATTGGGCGACGAGCTCGACTGACTACGGTTTCTGGGCGCCAACAACACAAGTCGGTGGAGGCTTCGTCGATGCGCAAAAGGTCCTTGGGTACACAACCGAGCTGAGCTTCGACGGCCGCAAGTTCGAGCTCAATGACACTGCGCATTTCAAGGGCACGCACACGGTGGAAATTACGAACCGTGGCACAGAGACAGTTACGTACAAGTTCTCGGTCCAGGATGCTGGTGGATATACTGCATATACCCCCTCTGTACCAGGGCAGACTCAGTTTGCGGTTCCTGGGATTCCTCTTTACGCGGACCTTGATCCTTTCAAACTTACTCCCGAGGTGGCTCTGCCTCAGGAGATTACTATCGCAGCTGGCGAGACCAAGGCCACGGAGTATGAGCTCATGTTCCCTTACGATATCAAATTTATTCATCAGAAAATGTCTAACAAAGCATGGCAGGTTCACATTCAGCGTTCCCGAGGGGGCTGATGCCAAGAAGTTGCCAGTGTACAGCGGCAAGGTTCTTGTCAGCGGCAGCAATGGAGAGGAACTTGGTATTCCTTACTTTGGTCAGTTCATTTCTCCACAGGTATCTGATCTTCTAAAGCTAATAAACCTGAAGGTGTTGCCTGCGATTTGAAGGATACGATTGAAAACGTCTGGGACTACGGATGGAACAATCCTTATCTCACCTCTGGTGTGAATGCAATCAGGCTCGAACAGAAGTCAAAGTAAGTTGCTAGACAGTGATGCACGTCTACATCTGGTACAGGGGCTGACATATATCTGCTAGCTTCACATTCAACCTCACCCGAGAAGCGCAAGACTTCCCTAAATTATTCACTCGATTTGTTTGGGGAACCAAGGAATTCCGCTGGGACGTAAGTCAATATCATGTCCATAGCTAGTATGGGACTATCAAGCTAAAGATTTATACAGATTTTCTCAGGCAATTACAGCGAGGCCCAATGGTCTTACCCTCCGGTTGTTGGTCAGAAGGGTTTCGTCGGCTCCGCAACCTCCTGGAACGGAACTGCCAACTCATCCTGGTTTATTCCAGGTGAAGATAGCGAGGACGACATTTTCTCCCTTCCTCTCTACTCGCAACCTCGTGCAAAGGGAGGTATTTACTACTGGCTCGGACGATTTGCCGACGGTTCTCAAGTTCAACCTGGATCATACAAGTAAGAACTCGCATTCAGTCGATGGCCTAGTTTTTCTTTTCTCCCACGCTAATTCTGTCACGTAGATTCCGCATTGCCGCTTTGAGGCCCTTTGGAGCGCCCGAGGTTGCAGAAGACTGGGATGTTTGGCAGACGCCTGCCATTACTGTGCTGCCTCTTTAGACCATATGTTTCTCTGATAAACATCTAGCGGATCGTGCCCTAATAGTGATTGCTATGGTACGGGTTTCGGGAGCCTTAGCATCAAGCACATTAATTCTGTTAACCTCTATCGTAAAATCTTTAACCAAAATTCCTTCAACTCTGCCATTAAGCCAAGATCCACTCTCAGCTCCTGATTATGGATTACATCAACCCTGAGGTTCCAAGCTGGTCCTTGTGTTGTGATGGAAGATGAAGAAGTTAAACCTTAGAAGTCTTCGAGTTTGTGCACTTCATACGGCGGCACCTCGTATGGATGCGTTCTGCAGCCTTTGTCAGCATCCAGTGCTCCCTTGAATCGCCCATGGCTGGGTCCAAGTACCTCTTCAAGGCAGAGACTGCCTCTCTAGTAACATCCCGCCCAACGCAAAGAATCTCGACCTTATATTCGGGTACTTGTGCGAGTCGATCGATGGCACCAGTGTGAGGGGTTGCTCCTGCAGCAGAGACGGGTATGAATTGGCATGTGCCTGGGCTCTCGAAAGCGACGTGGACATATTTTCCGTTATCATAGGTGCCGCCGCCAGCTTCAAAAATGGCTGCCTTGGTGGCATCCAGATGAGATCCTGCGTATACGTGATGATGTCAGCAAGGATTATCTTGTTGAAGACCTCTAGGCTTGAGGTTTCAACTCACGTGGCACCGAGTATGCGAGCTTGTAACGATCCGCCATTGTCAGAGGTACTTAGCGTGTCGGTAGTTCGGCGACTCGAAAGTGTTGTGATTCACGAATCTGGAGATGAAACTGGAAAGATGATGGTGCTGGGTACCAGTGTGATATTTGTGACAACCCCTCTCTTTTCTGTTGGGAACTGACTAATTTTCGGTCGTAACCACTTTGTGTAAAATTTTCATCATCCGGGAGGTACCGGAACTTCCTTATCTCAACCGTTTTGTTGAAAAATTTGAAGCATGTCCCCGAACCCCTATGGGAAAGTGAAGCCATATTCTGACCCCTATGGGAAAGTTCAGGCGATGTAGTTGACGGATAGCGGGGCATATCTGTGTGGGGTAGTTTTGAACCTGCGTGCTAGGCCGAATCAGTTGACGGCACCCCGGCGAGGACATGCTTGACTCGCTGTACCGACCTCGGCGGCGTTGAAGAGTACTTCAAGCGTTCCTTTCATTGGATCAAATGCTGCTCTAAGTGGGACAACTGCCGGAAGCACAGTTGCCCTTATCTAATGGCTAGCGGCTGTGAATCGAGTCCCCGACAGAAGAGACTCTTCTAAGAGGCGGTCTTTAAAGGGGCGGATGGCTTATCTGTGTGGGTTTACCTAGTGTGAGATGCTAAAGAAACGGCTCTGCAATTGATGCCCATCGAAGGTGTTTAAGTACGAGGAAGTGTGCTCGCCTCAGTGTTGCAACCATTCTTATAGATCGCCCACGACAGAGATTCCTCTCCACTACTAGTTTCACTTGTACGGAAGTCATTGAGCAATAACTACAGTAATCAACGTCGGCTTTCAAACCTTCGCGAATACCAAAACGATAAGGTCATCAGAATACAAAACAGCAAGAGGTCAAGTGGAAAATATGCCACACAACCTCCCATGCCCGCCCGGCGCCGCGGTCAAGCTGTTCGTTCTCAACAACTGTTTCCTTCGGGGAGTTCCTACAGCGCCTTATGTAGAGCCTATCATACCTGGGCATGAAATATTCAACGACCTTCCATGCCTCGTCTTCCTGATCGAGAGCTCGACAGGGAGGAAAGTCCTCTTTGATCTTGGTCTGAGAAAGGACTGGCAAAAGCTCAGCCCAGTATCGTTATCAGAGATTCGGAACGACCAAATCGACATCAAGTTAGAAGAGGACATTGTTGACATTCTGAAACGCGAGGGTATCGTCCCGGGCGATATAGAGGCTGTGGTGTTAAGGTGCGTGCTCCTGGTAGCTTTTCCATGAGAGCTTCTTTCCGCCAATGACATACGAATGTGGATTAAATACAGTCACCATCATTGGGATCATGTTGGAGATCTCAGTTTGTTCCCTGAGACTACACGTGTTGTAGTTGGCCCGGGATTTCTAGATGCTTTCCGTCTAGGTTATCCCGACGAGGGCCTAGCGCCACTGCTGGCCAGTGATCTTAGGTGAGTAGATGTACAACATATCGTACAGATGCTTGGAACCCATCGATAGCTGAAAATCTCCAATTTAGTGGGAAGTCTGTCGACGAGGTCGACTTCGAAGAGTCCAACTTTGTTCCTCTTGGTCCATTCAAAGCTTTTGATTACTTCGGTGATGGCTCGTTCTACATCGTGGATGCTCCTGGGCACAGCATTGGTCACATTGGCGCCATAGCCCGGACAACAAGCAACCCCGACACATTCGTCTTCATGGGTGCCGACTCATGCCATCACTGCGGAGAGTTTCGACCTTCTGAACGTCGCAGAACCCCGAGCGACTTTGGTCTTGGCTTGCCGATTTCAGTGCCATCTGCCCCTTGTGCCGGGCTGAGATCTGGCGTACGCAAAGTTACTCAGGGCGGGTCGTGTGGAAGGCCGTTCTACTCAATTACGCGGGACTTTCTATATGCCGAGTACACTCATGACCACGAAGCTGCGGATGCGACGATTGCGAAGGTGCAAGAAATGGACGGGTACGACAATGTTTTTGTTACCATGGCACACGATGATTCTATCCCTAAGATAGTCGACATGTTTCCAAAGACTATCAATGAATGGAGGTTCAAGAAGTGGCATAAGACGTGTCGATGGACGTTCCTGAATGACTTGCAAGGCTTGGCTGACGCCAAACTGGGAGGTTAGGCTAGCACAAACCCTAGATTTCCTCCAAGGAAGAGCAAATGTTGACCAAAGTAGAGTTTTATGCATCGACAGTCGGCCAGAACAGCATGGGTATGATACAGAAACCAGCTTTAATGCGCAATGTTGTCGATGGAGGTAGCCATATTACCACCCCATTTTGGATTCATCCACTACAACTATCTAATCGAATGACTGTGTCTCACACATCCTGTGGTACACGCCCCTAGCTGTGAATATCTCCTGGTGTGCTTAAATCTCCTGAATGCGACGCCTATGGAATACGTAGATTAATTCGGCGTTCTTGATAGTACTAACACGATGAACTATAGCAATTGTGATCTTATTAACCTGCTTTGCAGCATCTGCCAACGTAGTGTGGACAATGCTCTCACTTTCTGTATTAAGCGCACTAGTCGGCTCGTCGAGGGGGAAAATCTTGGTGTCGCGAATCAGAGCACGTGCAATTGCAATTCGTTGACGTTGGCGGCCACAGAGCTGTGCATCTTGGGGGTCCTGCGGGTGTGGCGAGTCCCTCCGGTAGGGAGAATAAAGTACCCTTCTATGACCCAGTCGCATGAACAAGTGTTGAGCTTAAGATGAAGGATTGGAGAGCAAGATTGATGAAACGAGTTTACGACAGGGAAAGTCGGTTATCAATTGAGGGAAAGTTGATCAAAAAGATCGTGTTAATGTTTGCGAATCAAATTAAAACAGCAAGCAGAATAAAATGACACCTTCGATAATACCAACAGCGCAGGACGTGAGTAAGCTTCGGTTCTCGAAGAGGCAGCAAATACTCGTACCCATGGAGGTTTGTCCCTCGGGTTAAGGCTGGAAAATGTCAAGATTCCCGGGGAAGAGTCATCGCCGACAGAGTTTTCATCAATGGAAACGATCAGACATCCACGCGGCTCTTGAACTATTACGAACATGGATCTGTTGTGGTAGCTTAGCTGCCCTACTTGTGGACTTAGTCTGATCTCCTTGGAGAGAGATGTTTCCCTTCGAAAGGCACCATTTCGGGCGCCGGGATCTGCGGACCCCCGAGGCGTCGAGACCGGCATGTGGCCGGGTGTTCGTCCCGAAATTCGACGGCAGTCCGTACCCCTGAGTCTCCAAGCTTCAACTCTTTACACGCCATACCAACTCCAGCCAAGAAACCCCTTTTCACATGGCCCCATTCGAAAAGCATACACCATGTGAAGTGTCTAGGTCGATGGCAAAAAATGCTTCTCAGGCCCCATAGATTTGGCAACTAGGATTACCAAGACCCAGAAACGAAATTGGCCGGATGAGTCACGGGTTGGTTCTAGGGAACATTGTGACGGTTTTGCTGTAATGATTCCACAAATTCCACCATCAATCGAAAAGCCCGATTGTGAGAGCCGAGCCCCAGGCCATCACTCTGGGCCCGGGCATCGTGGATTTTCGTAGCAGGCCGTTCTCGAGCTCGATAATAGTTTTTCTGGAATTGAACAATGCTCAAGTGTAATATGTTTATAAATCGGGATTCTTTCCCAAGAATCAGATAAATAGGGTACAAGCAATCCGACACTTTTGTTCAGCACCCGCCAACACCCTTTTTTCCCAGTCAAGATGATGGCCAAAAAAGAACAAATCACGAGCTTCATTCTGGCGCTGGGTCTGACCCAGGACAGGGCCTCGCAGATCCATCAGCGCAGTGAGATCGGGTGTAACTATACTGAAGAGATCCTAAGCAGTCTGTATCCTCAGAACGTCTTCTTGCCGGAGACTCCCGAATACTCTACTTGGATTAACAAATACTTGTAAGCTTTCCGGGTACACCAATCTTCTCTCTGCAATGCTGACGATTCAAAGCGGCTCTCGGCCTCGCCTCAACGCATCTGCGGTTTTCACTCCAGAGAACACGGACCAGGTTGCCTCTGGCGTCAAGATCTTCGAGTTCTTCCAGAGACAGTTTGCTACTCGTGGTTTGGGCTTTACATCCAACCCTGGAGCAGCCGGCATTGAGGATGGCGTGCTTCTTGCCCTGGAGAAGATGAACAACATCTCACTTACTCCATCCAAAGATATCGCTAGTCTTGGTCCAGGTAACAACTGGGGTCGGGTGTATGGTACACTCGAAAGCCAGAGGGTCACAGTCACTGGAGGCGAGCTTGCAGTCGTTGGAATCTCTGGCCTCTTGACTGGTAGTAAGTCAAGTTCCAAATCTCAACAATGAGCACGGCCTCCGACTGGTATACAGTTATGGACCCTAACAGCGCTATTTAGATGGATTCGGCAGTTTCCTCGGAAGTCGTGGATTCTCCAGCGCCGACATCGTCAACTTTGAAGTTGTTCTCGGCGGCGGAAAGGTCGTCAACTCCAATGCGACTGAGAACGCTGATCTCTGGTGGGCTCTCAAAGGAGGTTCCAATAACTTCGGAATTGTTACCCGCTTTGATATGAACACCTTTCCCCTGCCCAACGGCATCTTTTCTGGCTCCATCTCGTACAACCAGAGCCAAGCCGATGCAGCCCTGGATGCGTTCTACGAGATCCAAACTGGAGCGCTGCTTGACGACTCTCAGCTCGTGGTCACCTGCATGGAGATAATATCCCCGCAATCAACCTCACTACCATCGACATCTCCTCTTTCACTGACAAGGTCAACTTCACAGGCCCTTATCCCAAGGCGCTTCAGCCTCTGATAGATGTCGGCCCCATTGCAACAAACTTTTCTCGCAACACTCTCACCAACGAGGCATCCAAGGCCGTAACACCCGAATTCTTGGCAGTCTATACCCAGAGGTTAGTAGTAGATCTAATCGCTTCATGAGGTAAGTGCTTACATGGGAATCTTGGCAGAATCGCTCGTGGAAACATCAACGTCAAGGCGGACAGGGAGCTGTACAAGGAGATCTCTGCATTGTTTTTCTCCCACCACGCGTCTTCGACTCTTGCTGGCCACACAATCGGCTTTTCTTGGAACCCCGTCACTCCTTTCGCTGTACAAGAGTCCAACAGAAAGGGCGGCAACACAGGTGGCTGGCAGGAGCTCAACCAGAACTGTAAGTGCAAACACACTTTTGCCAATGGCAGACCTTGTCTGTCACACGAATAGTGTACTAACCAGCCATTCGCAGCACTCAATCTGAGAACAAGCTGGAGCAACGCCGACGACGATACGACGGCCCTCCAGATGGACGCTGAATTCTTGGCCAAGGCAGCAGAACTAGCTCGTAAGCGCGATGCTCTAATGCCGAACCAGTGGATGAACAACGCTGCCGAGACCGCCGATGTCATCAGAACTTACGGAAAGGAGAACATCAAGAAGATGAAGGCTGTCTCGCAGAAGTACGACAAGGAGGGAATCTTTCAACGTCTCGTCCCTGGCGGTTACAAGCTGGGTGCCTAGATGATACCTGAATACTGCCCTGTCGTAGATACCTATGTGATTGAACAGTGCATTTAGTCTACTTCTCTGATGAGAACTCGCTAACAGTGGACCCGGTTCTCTGGCTAGTCGCCCACAGGCTGAACAATGTTAGCTTCATATCTCATGTGCATAATCAATCAAAATTCTGGACCAATCAATCTTTTTGAATTATAAATAGAAGACGGTTGACATGTTAACCAACCATGTAGAATTTTGAATGATTCAGACTGCACACAGACTCTGCAATGCACCATCGACGCTGCCGAGTCACAAGCATCTCCACTGAGCTTCAAATCGTCACCAACCGCAACAAAACTCACGATTGCCACAACATGGTTGAAAGACATACAACACCAGGTATTCGCTGGTCGTCACCGACCCAACTACTAATCCGGCCCTCATTGGCTTATCTATGGGAGAGCGGACGGGATCCCGAGTTTTCCAATGGGTATGGTCGTATGTGATGGTTGAGAGAGCAGAGGCAGTCTAAGATGTCAGAGAGCAGCGCAGACTTGGCCCAGACTCTAACCCCGTTCCCCTCCTGAAATGTGAAAAGGAATCTCTCAACACTATGAGACATCCAAATATTACATTTTTGACATTGCCGAACTCAATAGGGACGTTCTTGGACTTGAAAAGCAATCTCAGGACATTATCTTGACTTGGTTTGACGTAACTAATTCAATTTGATACTGATGGAGACAACTCCTCCCATTCGTACTTATGAAATACTCCCTCCGGCCTGTAGACTTTTGTTAATAATTTCTACTAATTTTTGATTCTACCAGATGCACCATATCCTAAGCTCACAGCTGCGTCGAGCTGATATTGTCTCTGTCCCAGACATATAGAAGGCACTTTATGAACACAACAGAGTGATTTCATCCTGTCCTTGACTTTTGCGGACTAGGGCATCACTATCGTAACACTGGATGAAACACACTTCCTCTGGAGATTGATGACTGAGATAGCATCACGCATGCTCGCAAGCCGCGTGCTATTCGCCATCTTGCAAGCCAGGGCCTCCTTTTCTGGTACCCAACGATTTCAGCAAGACGTTGTGGCTGTATTAAAAAGGCACGCATCCAGGGCGCTTGCGATATTTCCTTGTCAAAGGGGTAACTTTGATCTCTTTCGACACTGGAATGCTCATATGCATTACCGCCAGAGGATCGCGACAGACAGTCTCGAACGAGCGCCTGACTTGTCCTTGAAAGTTTCAGACCCGAACTGGGACAGACGGAGGAGGTGTGGAGGGTCCCTAAGTTGTTGCTATCAATGGGATGGCAACTTTGATTTCCCTAAGCTTCAAAGATCCTGTAAAACGGCCATCATGTAGTTGCGCAAGCTGGCGGGATAGGAAAGCAGCGAGTTCAGCTTGCCTTGTGTTAAACTGCCCTAATTGAGAGCGCATCTGGCTAGTTTTGAGAGAGTTCATCTACATGTGACTTGGTCTACGATTATAAGATTTAGCTCGAGGCTAAGTCTATAATCTACAATCCTGACACTCAAAGCTTTGCCACCGATGCATACCATGCCATCCGGCTTCACCCACCGGGACGAGGCGAGGGCGGGAGCGACCGCGGCTACCAGCACCTCATGGGACCTGCCTAAGGTTTTCACAATTCCACGCCATTGATCTGCGCCTTGACTCGTTGCGCGTCCTTCGATGGAAGCTGAGCAAGCAAAACCTCGAGCTTCTCGCACGCCGCATGGATCTGCGGAGCCATATCCCAGCCCAGGCCCTGCTGTTTCATTGAGGGGTCGGAGTCATCGTCGTCGTCAGTACGGGGAAATGCCATCAAGGCGCCGATCCAGTCCAGACGAGCCTGGGAAAGCCACTTTGCGGTTCTGGGCTGGGCCAGCCATCGCAGAGAGTTCTGTAAATTGAGATATGTGATAAGAAGCCAGTCAAAATCCTGATCCGGATGTGGAATGGGGCGGCAGAGCTTGTTTTTGGTTTCTTCGTCGCTGTAAGCTGTCTCAACATGGGCGATGAAGGCTGCGCTGAAGACCTGCTGGCATCCACGAACAGCCTGCAACGTGATTAGGTCTCCGTTGAATACCGGGATTGCTTTGCGCTTCTCCAGTCCGTCCGCCGTGCAGTCGACAAAGAGGGTGTTTGGCTGCGGCTGGTAGCTGCTCCCATTGTCGAACTTCACCTCGTCAAGCCCGATGCTGACAACTCGGCCCTGGCGGACAATATTTGTAATCTTCTTGAGCTGCTCGAGTTCGGCCACGGATACGGTGGCACAGCGGAACATGGTCGGCCAGACGTCGTCGCTGATGCGCATGAGATGTCCCTTTTCTTCCAGCCGTTTCAATAGATCGCTCACAGATGTGGCCGCCATGATGGCCTCCACCTGCGTGGGAAAACAACTGAGGGTCCTCGCGGCAAACTCGGCGCCTGGCTGACTCTCGCTGCGGTCAAAAAGCCACGAGTCCCGTGGCACTATCCACGTCAAGTTCGAGGCGTCGACTCCTCGCGAAAGTAGCCATAAGCAAGTATCGATGCCCGTCTTGCCGGCACCAACGATGGTAAAGTTGGCGAAGGGCTGCGATATTTTCGACAGTGAGTTCGGCGTCACAAAAGAAACGTCGGAGGCCACTTGGTATGACGGGGGGCCCATGGATGGCACCTTGACGCGCATGTACGTGGAGTCGACAATGCGGGGGGAATTGCCAGCTAATTGGAAACTCTTGCCCGAGATCATGGAGACGAACTTGCCGCCACCTTCGTAATTACAATTGGGGAAGTACTGGACTCGTCCAGACGGTAGGAAGTGTTGGTTCAAGACCTGATCGTAGTACGCCAGGACCTCATCGCTGGTAGCCAGTTCATTGAGGCCTTTGTTCCAGCCGACTTGGTCAATGAAGCCGCTGCCCAACTTCTTCGAGTTGACTCCATAGAAGGCGGAGGGCTGATGCAGCCTCACAAAGGAGTAGGCCGTGGTCCAGTGACCTCCGGGGCGACTGTAGCGATCGACGAGGGCCACAGTAGCTTTGGTGTCCGAGAGCAAGGTATCGACAAAGGCCATTCCCATTCCACCTGCGCCAATGACGAGGTAGTCTGCTTCGATAGATTCCGCCATGATATTGGATTGATGGTTAATACTGGAGAAGTCAAGTCGGAGTAGTCGCACTGAGTCTGCTATTAAGGTGCTTTTCTGAGTTGCACCTTTCCGTTCTTGTCGCCCACAAGCGTCAATTGGTTTTTATGTATATATTTAGAGTCTCGGAGTCCCGTGTGGAGTTGTGGGTGAATTCCATGGTCATCCATGTGCGTTCGGGGGTTACCCACATCCTGGAATTGAGTTAGAAGGTCGCATCGCTGATGTGTACCACAGTACAAATGAGATGAGTCTTGCCGTAGCATTTACCCACCGTCCGAAACCCCGGTGATGGAGATTGTAGTATCTCGGACATGGAACGCAGCTCTCGGTCCCGTCAAGGTGGACAACATATCCGTAGGGGTTCCATAAGTTAAGGTAGACATTAACTATCACATCGCCCCTGTTCTTCCTCGTGACAGCTACTTGTAAGCTATTTAATCTAATTGCTCTTATCCTGAACTCCAATTTGTAGGCAGCATGACTGACAAAAGTAGCATTGGGCGGTAGTCTTGCTTGAGAGATCTGCAAGATGCAAGTCAGCTCCGGATCCCGGGCCTGAATACCGGCCTGAATCCTCCGCGCCGTCTATACAAAGGGTTTCAGTCAGCCGCACCACTTTGCGGCCGAGCGTGCCCAGCCGTACCCAGCCCTCGAAGCTAGATTGACTAAGCTACTCCCCGTGAGTTATAATGTCGCTGTAGCCAAATGTTTAATGCAGTCCATTCACAACAGTCGCTCATTAGGCCTGCTTCATACAGAATTTACCCGATGCAGCGCTTGTAATCGCTTCGCTCTGATCTTCGTTCGATCACAGTTGTCGAGCAATGACGGATTGCCCTGCTTTCACTGCCCCACTGGCCAACTCATCCACTTGGAACCAGGCCGGCTCCCTTGCAGATTGCAACCACGGGCATATCCAAGTTTCCTTCAGACCTTGCTTTTGCAGCGATCCGATAACTAGGCTTTGAGTCATACTGACGAGAAGACAGTGAAATAGAGCGGTATAGCGGAAATGTCTACTAGGAACTACTGTACGGAAGTGATGATTATTTATCCCATCGAGGTTCATAACCGCTTTGTTGACCGCCTGTGGATCGTTCTCATTTGTTTCTGAAGCAGAGCCGACAGTGCCCCGCAGTCACCTCAAGTCAGTTTACCGCCCCCCTCCTCTGTGTTTCAACGTCCAGATGCCTTCCTACTTCCCTAAGCCGTTGGCAAATTCGAGCCATGCCATCGCATGATAGTCTTGCTCCAAGTATCGGAGTCCAAGTGACAGAGCTTGACAGTGAAAAGGGCAACAGTCTTCATGCCGACGGTATCTCGGCCTCGAACAAATGCCGCGTCTGCAACAAAACATTTACCCGCTTAGCACACCTTCAGCGGCACCTCGCCTCACACGGGGGCGCTAAGCAATGGTTGTGCGAATTTTGCGGGAACTCGTTCGGCCGCCGGTAAGCCAAGTCATCGTGACATTTTCCTTTTGTCTCTGCCTCTGCCTCTCAGCCTGTCCAATCAAGCCACAAACTAAAGCGAACTCCAAGAGACGTTTTGAACCGGCACCTCGGAACCTGCAGCCGGGCCGTTCCGGGAGCCCGTTCTGCAGTTCGCCCATTGAACCGAGCCTGCAATCCATGTCGCGAACGCAAGACTAGATGCGATGGACGGCAGCCTTGCAGCCGGTGCTCTCAAGCTCCCTCGAGGTGCGTCTTTGCACATCGTCGGATGCTTCGACATACCACGGAGGACGCTGCTCAGTCGAGTGCCCAGGATATTGGATCTCTATCAGCACGCTTAAGCGGCAAGGCATCAGCAGCGTCCTCGGCTTCTGATCAGCCGTTGCCCTCGAAAGAGACATCTGCATCCGCTGGGCAAATGAGCACGGATTCTGCTTCTTCCTCTTCCTCTGCCTCTGCCTCTCAGCTGTTTCCAGGGCAAAGCCTGGCCTCGGCAAGCAATAACCAAAGCATCGTCTTTTCTCTCAACATGCCTTTGGATGACGTGTCCGAACAAGATTGGATGCCCACCATCGATCCATTCGCTGGAACGGACGAGCCTTTCGACATACTTTCAACCTTTTCATGGACAACGGGTGGGCCGGAAACGCTTTGGACGGCCCCCGGCGATGTCACCCTTGGCCTGAATGGAACGGCGAATGAACCTCCTGTCGACAGCGTTGCCGCAACGAGCCCCCATGATGATCTGGCATCGACTATGCACCCGCGACGGATGTCTGTCGAGTCACGTCTCGCCCCTCCTGGACTAAGTCTCCTTCAGCTGGATCCTTTGGAACACCACCGCACGGTGATCGTTGACTTCCTCTCTACAGCCTGCAAAGACGTGCCGGGGATCCACAATCTCTTCAAGACGCAGAGCATGGGCATGATCTTGAACACCTACTTTGTTCGCCACCACCACAAGGCCCCCGTCACACACCTGCCAACCTTCAGTATCGCATCCGCCTCGACGTCGATCGTGCTAGCCATGTCTCTTTTCACAGCGTCGTATACGCCGTCCCTACGCTTGCGGTCGCGACAATTCCAAAGTGTGCTGGCGGCGGCGTACCGTTTCGTAATCAAGAATGACAAGGTACGTCAAGATTGCTCTCTAGGCCTTTCCATGCGTAAGGCCAACCGCTGACTTGAAGTATGATCAGACCCTCGAAAAGACAGGAGAGCCGTCGGTGTCTACGCTACAGGCCTGTTGGCTTCTGGTCATGCTCGAGAATCCAATGAACCCTGGGCATTGCGCAGGCAGTGTCATTCCCTTCGAGGACCTTGTTTCTCTAGCTCGCCGCGCGCACGTTTTTGACGGCGCCCGGTTGGGAAAACTCGGTCCCGACCCACGGTGGGTAGACTGGGTAGACTCAGAGAACTTCCGTAGGCTGGCCTTCGCCCTGTACGCCCTGGACTGTCTCCGAAGCGTCCTAAAAGGGGGAGTGCCCCATATTCCGACGTGCGAGATGCAGCTGCACTTGCCTGAGCCCGAGGTGCTATTCCAAGCACCTAGTGAAGCGGAATGGCGCCGCCTCAGGAACGCCGGCGGGCAACAGCAGCACCGCACACCCGTCTTCTCCGTAGTCATGGAACTTGCCCTCCGGGGCCTGGCCGACCAAGAACATATGCCGCAGACGCTCATGGGCAAGTTCGCTGTTACGCACGGGATTCTCCTCCACGCATGGCAGGCCAAGACGCAGTACGAACTCGGACGCCGCCACATGCCTAATTCCAGTGCGTTGGAACTTTTCTTCAATGGGCGGGCGCAAGAAATTCGTAGTGCGCTTGCGGTCCTATATCCTGGGCGGCGTGCGACGCTCTGTGATACTAATCATGATCCTCAGAAAAGCGACATGGCGTTGCTTTACAGAGATCGCGCGCTGGCGTGGTATTACTTGGCTGGTGTCCTCACGCTTCCGCAAAGCAGCTTCTCGTCTGTGCAGGGCGTTGAAGCAGAAGAACACGGGCAGACGCTCACTTTCCAGGGTAGTTCGATGGCCTTATTCATGAAACGACTGGTAAAAGCGCTTGACCGAGGACATCTTCAAGGTCTTGATGGCGACTATGCCGCTATGTATCGACTCGTGAGTTCCATCAGCCTCGAAGAGGAGGAACCCACGACCGAGGTCGGGACCTTGATATACCTCACGATGTAGACTGTAGGTGAGGCTTGTCGTTATATAATGGCACCGTCCTTTCCAGCGGCAAGTTCGATGTGATCTACGGTGTCGGCTTGATTAAGTCCATGGATGCTCTTGAATTAGCTCCGATCCTCTTAGACAAGTCTGTTCTGAGACTCGTTCCTCTTTCCGTGCCTTGTTCAATTGCATCCCTCATCTGCTCAAGGGAGATGCTAGGAAGCACTGGAGATTCAATTTGCAGCATCTGGCTAGCATTGAACTTGATCGGAAGGATATCTACCGGTGAGATGCTGATGGCATCCCTAATGATCGACGGTGGATGGGCGTGATCAGCGAACAAGTTCGCCTACTTTACATTCGCCTATCTTATGTGTCTAGGTTCTGGCTATCAATTCCAGGATGGCAAACTCCCATTCAACCGGTTGGAGTAAAAGACTAAGGTGAGGATTACGATGTATTCGAAGCTGTTCGACATGAAGCTGCTAGACTCTCGCACGCCAGTCCATTCTGCCGATTTTTGAACGAATCTTTGTTGCTGATACTGGCATTTTTTCAGATCACCAACTATGGCAACATGGGAGCTTGGAAGCCCCTTTTCGATCCGTGCATAAGGACCAATCCTCGCTCTCGGAACATCTTGGACATGAATTAGAAAGCGCACACGCTCCCCGTTGTGATTGGAAGATTGCCCAGCAGACGGCTCGCAGCCTCCAAAACACCCGATGTCACCGACTGGAACACATTGCCACAACCTACATTGAACGAGGTCCGAAGATACAGTCCACGAGCCTAGGTGAAGTGGCAATTACAAGACGTCCACTTTCCTGTTTTACATGACAACAGACGATCTTATACACTAGCAACAGTCAGCTCGGACAGCTGATGAGATGAAAGATCGTGGTATTGATGTCAGCTTGATTCTGGTGGCAGATGCGCCTCATATCTGTGACACTAGTCATGGTAAGTCGTCAGAGGGCTAGGCGGCAGTATTGAAGGCGTGCGATTGGCTTAAGAGATATGCATTTGGTTCTGGTCGAGTGACATAAGGCAGAAGGCGTGAGCCAGAGAGCTTGGGGACTGATAGGATTCTGGGGAAAAGGGGGGAAACAATTAATCATTGTAGTCATCAAGCAAAGAACCTAACTCTCGTTCATTCAGGACCCACAATGGCCCCTTCCAAGACACTTCGCTTATTTGGAAGGAGAAGCATCCACGAAGTCTCATCAGATGGTATATTCAGCTCACGAAGACGCCAATGCAACAGCTGAAGCACCACTTCCCGTTTGCAGAGCACGCAGTTCTTCGTCAGATCGGCGCGGCGCAGACTTGGGTGGCATGTCGGCCCAGGCCTCCTCATACCCAGTCGACCGAGCATAAAGCGCACCAGGAGCCTCAAGGGCGTCCACAACCATATGCTGAATCTTCCTCCATACGTCGTCACCTTTCAGTTGGTTCCAGGCTTTGTCCTCGTAAGACTTCAGCAGTTCGTGGCATAGCGCCGTTGCCCTTGCCTGCTTGATGCCATGCCCGTCGTCACCAAAGTCTTGCAATCGGTTACCAATCGCTGGATGTGTGTCAGTGGTTAAGCCAGGCGACAAATTAGGAGCTTCATGAACTTGCCTCTGATTGATGTTTCACTCGGAACCTTAGGTTCATAAGATGTGATGAGTCCCACATCGATCGGGGTTCGTCCTCGGGCCGTGTATTCAATCAGGTCCATGCGGATCTTCCACTCAAGCAGCCGCCTCTTGTCCTCACGTGAAAGCCACGGCTGAGCCAGCGTCGTCAGGTAAAACACTGCAGAGTTTACATGGTGCCTAAGAAACGTCAGAACTTGTCGACCCACAGCTACTGGAGGAGAAACTTACATGAGGAAAAAGTCGTACTTGACGTGCTTAGTCGGGTGAATAGCTGCACTGGAAGCAACAAGAATAATGGCGTGGAACATCTCCGCCGTCCTTGCTTCTAGCTCATCATCCAAGACACGCACTTTGCGCAAGACCTCGAGCATAGGCTCCTTAGCTCTCTGCAAAATTCCATCCCTGATCTTGCTTTCATCCTGGAACCGCGCAGCACCTTGCAAAGCAGACGACGTCCGCACTTCCTCAAATAGATCCATAATAGCTGGCATTCGCGTGTGTTGCGCGCTCTGCTCAACAGCGGCTTCGCTCGGCAGCAGGAGATCGTCGAGCGAACTAGTCCCGTGGACCGCGGTCTGCGCAAGACCCTCTGCGACAATTGTGGGCTGCTTCCATTCAAGACCGTGCATGAGCTGGATCAGCGAGTGTAGTACGCCGCCGTGTAGGCGGAGGAGCATGTTGTTGGACGCAGCATCGCGCTTGAGCAGTGTTTCGCGTACAACCTCCTCGTAGCCTTCGGCTTCAATCCTACGCTGAAAGTATGCGAGGAAGTCCGGATAATATTCATCCTTTCCAAGATATTTGTGTGCGGAGCTCCAGTCACTCAAGAGTTCGGTGATGACCACATCATGGCGAGGCTCGACCGGGCGTTGAAGGTCGTGGCGTAGATTAAAAGCCCTCTGGATTTGAACCTCGCTGGCTCCGGTACCGTAGAGCGCGAGAATATGATGAAGCATCTGCTTGAGCTGTTAGACTCTTCGCCCCCTTGTTTCTGCACCTCTTGTTTGGGCCCGACTAACGTGGTCATGGAAACCGGATCGGTTGAGGAAGACATGATGAAGCTGGCGAAGGAGGATTAGAACCTGATCAGACCCCTCTTTTGGACATAATAGTCCTCCTTCTTACTTTCAAGTCCTTCTCCAGGAGCTCGCTAGTTCGCTTTGCTGCCTCATCGCTCTGCCTGATTCCCCAAAGACCTGTGTTCTCGGGAGTTATGACGATGCGGGTAGAAGCTGGGCTGGTAGACATTGTCAAGTGATTTTATGGTAACACAATCAAGGTCAATGCAGAGACGGGATCAATCAGGCGTGCGATCTGAATTTAGTCTAGAAATGAGCGACGACCTGACTGCTTACAAATGTATTCAAGACTAACATCAGGACATCTATCCGCAGCCATTCGGTGGATGCAATGACTCACAGACGATCTAGAATGGGGTCTCGGGACTCTGATTCATTTTTCTAGACCAAGGTATCTCGACTTTTCTGTCTGTCCCCTTGTTTGATCGATGGTCTCCTCTATTAGATTCAATCCATGTCAAAGTTGGAGTTTGCAACTCTCGCGCTCCGTTCGTCACGCGAGATGCCCCGCCTTGATCCCCGGGTGTGGGACCCAATGAGCACGTTGATTACGTGATCAGTAATTCGAACCAGCCTACTGGTCCAAGCTAGCTAATATTGACAACGAAGAACCTTGTAAATTTGTAAGGCATGAGACAGTAGCGACAACACCAGCAAGAGGACATATATCAAGCTGGTGACAAGACATCTTGAATTTTGTGGGAAAAGGTTTGATACGTTAAAAGGCTCGCTTCTCGCATGCCCGCTGGACTGTTCCTTCGTCTCCCCTGGCAACGACCAGCGAATCGCGAGAATTAATGTATCAAGTAGGGCCTCAGTTGGCACCTCCGCCTTTTCCCCTAAATTGTCAGCAGCATATTTTCGACGTGAGAATAGCATAGGTGCTCTAACTTCACTGATTCGATCTCTCGCTTGCTTGCCCCAAGCCTTCCTCCTTGGCCTTCTGATCACTGCCGTCGCCCTCGGGCCTTGGTGAGATAGCTCTCATACTCGTACGTGCCCCTATAAATATGTTTGCATTAAAGTAGGCAAAATCGGTAGTCAGTATTTCTCTCATTACGATAGGTGGACACCAGTAGATATCGACCCATGTATCTAAGGAGAATGAGTCCTCCACCCAAGTCCTCGTTGCGCATTCTGACTGTGTGGCTAAGTGAAAGGCTATGTCGGGAAGAGCCCCCTCACTCAATGTCTCGATGCCTCCATCTCTTCCTCAGACATATCACAGAGCTCATAGTATTTGCTAACCAATTCGCTCAACTTTGGCTCCGAGGCTGCGAATATCTTCACCTGCTCGCGCATGGCCATCGACTTTTCTCCGAGTTCAGCTCCACTTGGAATCCTCTCAGCCAAGAACCCTGTTTTCTCTTCGTTACCCCCGAAACAGATCTGTATTTTGCAGTTGTCAGCCGCTCGACCTCTACAATATCTTTCATCTGGCAGATTTGTAAGATGAGGAGACAGGAAATGTCTTCGACGTACCTCCGCCTCCCGCATGATGTCGTTCGAGGCGCACCAAACTTCATACGGCTTTCTCTTGTTTGTTTCAATCAGGCATTCGATGTCAAAAATTTCACAGAGAGTATTTGTAGCTTTGGTCTTTTGATCCGGTGATTCCGTGGGCGCAGTGAGAAACTTGGCAAAGATATCCCGGATTCCTTCTTCATCGGCAGTCTGCACAAGCTGTCTTAGGCAGACCTGCGTCTCTTCAATGGGTACTTGGCGCCACATGAAGTCGGTCATGGTGCGGCGGTACCTTCGTTCCAGGGCATCAGCACTGGAAGGGACTTTGGTCCGCAGTGCGGTCTACTTATTTAGGTATTCCAGGTCAGCGCTGAGGAAGGACTTTTGATTATTGTCGTATGATCTATGATTCGTACTCAACTCTATACATTTGGGAACAAGTTCTTACGATGAATGAATCTTGGAGCTCCTCAAGGTGTTCGCACTGTTGTGCGGTGATGCTTTTGTTTGTTGATGACATGGCCAATCTTGGAGCTCCGATCGGGAATGCTGACTCGCATTCAAGCCAAAATTGTGATGAAAGAGTGCACGTGTAATGAGAATCCTGAGATGTGATGCGTGTCAACTCAAGGACAAGTCAAGTGTCCTATTTATGCACACACGGGATGGTTGCGTCTAGTGGTTGCTCACATGACAAGTGCACTTGGTGTTGGGCTGACGACCTCGACTTCTTGCATTCGGATCCTGCGGATCCCTGGCCCTCGTTAGACCACGGCACCATTTGATTGGCTGCAGTGATCAAAGAAGACAGTTCTTCAACAAGGACGGAAACCATATGATTCGAGACGCGCAATCATGTGCTACGCAGAAGTTCTTTTGTCGGTCTCTTGCTTCCGGAGAATCACAGGCCTCGTTCTCAAGACCTGCAACGTCCCATAAAATCTCCTACCTTGCTCAATAAAACTGTTCGCAAGGACTAAACCTAAAGTACGTACACTAAGGTTGGTGATACATGTACAGAAAGTGCATCTCAGTCAAGGAGAGCCTTCTCGAGTTTCATCTCAGATCTTCAAATTCCAGAAGCAAGTTTTCAATGTCCCGACTAAAGTGGAAAAGGCGTATAAAAGAGACAGGCCACTAGGCTACTAGAGATGGCTAGAGATTCTTAAGCGGCGCTTTAGACTAGGCGTATCCCGATACGCCGGCGGCAGAATACCTGCGAGGTCAGCTTTGATCTGCAACGCCAAAGTGCGCGAATGCCATCGCTGAAGCCTCGTGTCACCGCCCATTACCCAGTAGTTGTCAAGCCGGGACTGCCGTTTCCACATCCCCCGAACCTCTCCTTCCGAATCGACCCCCCAAGTTGCATCAAGTCGAGCGGCGATCTCCTGAGGCCCAAGGATTCCACTGCTGTCATGCTGATTTTCTCCCGGCGGCTTGTTGATGTCATTCGTTGCCGAGGCCCCCAGTATCTCTGCCGCTGTCTTACGCGCGTCTCGGTCAGCAAATCCGGTACACCACACCACGGCATCCGCATCAAGTGTGCTACCATCAGAGAATTTGAGTCCAGTAGCAGTGAAAGCAACAGGTTCGACATTGGCTTTGACACCTGTTTTGCGCTCAGATATGAGCGCCGTACCGCCCACATCGAGGTAGTGTCCTCCGGCCTTTTCAAACAAATTGACCATCAAGCAGCATTCCGGTGAGCGGCTGTCTAAGACGGGGAACCCAGCTTTGGCAAGGGCGGCATAGCGATCCGGCTCTTGAGAGGCAAGGTGAGAAAAGTGTCCCTGCACCATGTGAGCGTCGATGTTGGTGGGCATCGCCATAGAATCCTTGTCTGCTTCCACGCCAAGCTTCTCGTAATTTCCATGTGCTGCAGGATCGCACACGTACGCGACTGGGAAGATGTAGGTCGGTGACCGAACAACCATTGTGGTCTTCAGACCGGCAGCGTAGCAATCCTCGAGAATGTCGAACGCAGTATTTGCTGAGCCTATGACCAGAGCAGACTGGATTGAGAGATACGGGTCAATCATATAATTCATCGTCATTTGATTCAAAGTTTTCGACTGACCTTCACTCCAAGCATCTTCCAGTCTTTGGCGTTACGATAGGCAGTAGAATGAACACTGACACCCTTGTACAGATTAGCATTAGCCATAGGCGGCATGTGAGGCTTCTGCGATCCGATCCCAGTTGCTTGAACTATGTGCCTGCCCACGGCAACACGCCGACCAGTGGGTGACAAGAATGTCACTGTGTAGAGCCTTGAAGCTTGACTGTATGTCGTCGAAATAACTTTGGCCGAGTTGAGAATGTTCAGATTGAATATTTTCACGTATCGCTTGACCTGATTTGCAAGTTCCTCTCTAGTGAGGAAGTGGGGAAATTGCTGCTCTTTTGCGTATTCTAGCCAAATTATCCAACGTTAGTATGATTGACGTTCGAATTGCGATGATTGCTCCGCGGTTCGGACTGAATACCTACCCAGATACGCCATGGTGCAAATTGCTGTTGGAATATGAAACTTCATTGCATGGTAGCGAAGAGCCCAGTTGTCTCCAGGGGTGGGGTTGCGATCGAGCATGACACTCTCGACGCCCAGAGCCTTCAACCGAGCGGCGACTGTCACTGCACTACATCGTTTTTTGTACTCATCAGCTAACGTGAACTCATTGACGTTATCGATATCCAGATCGAGCTTACCTGTTGCCGCCACCGATGATGATTACATCGGTTTCGAACTGTTCGAGAATGCCCAGCTGCTTTGCAGGGCCCCGCAACAGACTCGAATTTTCGGGATAGTAGACAAAGTCATCAAGTCTAGTGCTCAATACCCAAATTTTCCAGCTCACGATGTCCTTATTTCCAATTTGGAGCTTGTAGGGTAAGAGAATAATTTTTCCATGGCAGCGAGCAGCTGGAGACGCTGTTCTGAATGTGAGATTGCAGTCTATGAATTGCTTCGCGTGATGGGTCAGTTAATCTATTTGTAAAGGAAATGGCCCGAATGAAAACTCACGAGGGTAGGAGTGACCGGCGCGAAGCTCGCGACTCCATCAATCTCGATCTGTGCCAGTCCCCGGAGATTCTTTGTTTCCATGAGACTGCATGCAATGACGGCCGCCCGTTGGAATGTTCGGAGGTGATACGTGAGTGCCAGCTGATCTTTCCAGTATGCCTGCTCTGCAAAGAAGCAGTCTTCCAAAGCAGCCGCATGGTTAGCCTTCAGTGCTGATGTGAGGTTTTCGACAATATCGAGGGTGATTTTGGTCGGCGTGCTTCCGTTCATGTTGGCAGGGTCTATCGTTCCTTCGGGGATGACTGGGAGAGGTGTCTCAGCCATCATTTTACGTATATCCGCCTTAGGCGGGTACTCTTCATACACCTCAGCCATGATTCCTTTGCAGACTTTGTCAGCTTCACAATAACTTTCCCCGAATAAAGGACAGCGCTTGTAGATCTTAGACCTTGCCGCTATGTATGATTCTGTCCTCGTTGATGAAGCTTGGGACTGCCGCTGGCAAGTAGATGATCGGGTGGTATGAATGAGGGGAAGTGTCTCATTTTTAGCTTTGTGACTACCATCTCCAAATGAGCAGAGATTCGTCCGATCAATTCTATTCCAACGCACCAACGGCCGTAACCAATCGTGGCCGGCGAGCTTCCTGGCGGAATTGGCGTCTCTCCGTGGCCGTCACACTAAAATACTACAGTGAGTACCGGTAGCGAATTCGAGCAGCGACCGGAAGTCACCGGTGTTCGGTGTTCTCTAAATCCCTTCTTCTCCATGGCTTTCAGTGCCGCCTGTGCGGAGAAGAAGCCGCTCGTCGGCTAGACCTAGACTCCGAAACTTGTCCTTTCTCACGATTCGCAAGGCGTTGTGTACATGCTTTTTTCGTCCCTACTATAAAATCAGACGCATCAGTCATCTGCAGCCGTTCATGCCTGAACTCTAGTTCACCCGGAAACTCCCACCCCTTGTACTGCGATGGTAGTGTGTGAGGATGTTGGGGTAACCGCGTTGTCCGCACCGTCTCATCACGTTCATCATATCATGGACATCTTCTCCATCATAGGAATCGCGTATCTTTGTTTCCAACGTGCTGTGCTCCGTGCTATTTGAGCTACGCACATTTCTTTTGCAATCTTCGATATCCTCGGCCTTGCTATGATGACCAGCGTACTTGTGGAACTGACATCTCGCAATTACACGGGGGCAGACTGCACCGTGAGAGTTGAGGCTCGGCAAAAGAATTCCAATACGATTCGAGATCACTTGACAATGAAGCCCCGTCGACCCCAGGTATAACGCGCTAAAAGACTCCCGTTCACCTACACGGTGTATAGACCACGTGATGCCACGTGTTTACCCTCAGTACGTTTCCAACCCGGGGCCAACAGATCAGGATCGCGCCTTTCTGGTTTGAAGGCCATGAGTCCTCTCCTCGTAGGCCCCAAGATGAACTCCCGTCAATACCGGTTTCTCCGGACTCTTGTCTCCCGAACTTTCTTATGAGGCTCGGCTCTCGTTGCATCGGACGATTCGATGGTTGAGGATCGTACCATCATGGTCCTACCTAACTATTCGTTCAGAGCTGGGAAGACTGCTCTTTGCGATGCCTGACTTTGAATCCTGACCACCGCTCTTGTTTCCCAAAGCCGTCCGGAAGAGCTCGGACAAACTTTGGACAACTTGGTCGGAGTAGATGGCATAGCTGCCAGGGGGATGAAGAAGGCAATAGAGACGGAGACTAGGTTCCCAGCCTATTAGAAAAGGGTTGCAGACATACAGTGACACAGATCTCCTTACAAAAAACGACGAAAATCCAGCCTGGTGCCTCAATGAAAGAGATGGCATCGATTGCAAACAGGGAAGTCAGAAATGAGAGCGGAAGCTGGAATGGAGCACGTCAGTACATACAACTCAGAACGCTCGAGTCTGTGGGTGTGTTGCACAAAAACAATTGTAACCACGGTAAAAACCATCAGCGTTTCTTCTTGCTTCATTGACAGTGTTGACTGGTCATTGGCTGCCATGCTCATCTCGAGCGATACAGTCGTTTGCTGGAGTGACAGAGTGTTGTTGACCTGCAAGTTTGGACATTAAAATAGGGTCGAGTGAATTGTAAACGTAAGGTACTCACCGAAGTCTGGATTCGGTCTGCCACCTTGTCCATTTCCTTGATGTCATTGACAACATGGGAGGCACTAAGACCAGCTTCTTGAGAGCCTCGAAGTTTTTGCATCTCCCGCTGAACATCTCGCTGGTATTGTGCAACCGCTTTGAGTATGTTCAGTTCGTCCCGAATGTCTTTGATACGGCTGGATAGATCCTCTGCCTTTCTTATGGCAATTAGATTCTTCTTTATGCGTGCTTGTCTTTTTCTTTCCAGCTTACTGTCAGTATCTTTTCGAGTTCGTCTGTCGTCAATGCCCATCTGACAGCTTCCCCCACCCGCATTCTTCATTCCAATAGCAACTGAAATTCCTCGATATCTTTTTCGTCATTCATTGTGGCCAGTATCTCGCTGGCCTCTGAGCTAAACTTCGCAAAGAGATTTGCTTCATCGATACCCTAGTTATACCTTGGCCAAATTCAGTGGATTTCAATGCGACTCTTTACATACAATTTTGTTGATGGAATTCGAAAACATTTGACGCATAGACAAGAGCTCTGGCGGGTACTCCACAGAAGTCTGGGAATTAGCGCGAACTGCCAAGTCGGGGACTGAAGCGGAGGCTCTTCGGCGGTACCATTGACTTCAAGTGTTGTCGGTAAACTTTTACGTGAGGTCTTTAGCAGAGTCTCATACGATGCTATGCAGAAGTCGATGATGAGCTGGCTCATCTCAGCCGTTGATCCTGGCAGGGAATGACTACCACCGGATTCTATTTGCTTCGTAAGATGGTCAACTACGCCCTCCAAAAGCATGTTTTTCCTCCCATCAATTGGATGAGAAGAGGCTGAAGACGATCAATTAGTATCCCATCAATTACCTACGGAATGGCAAAGGCAGAAATATTTCCATTTGGTCTAAGTTTCCTGTCGTGATGGCTTCAACCATCCATGGCCTCACCGCATGTCACGTGACCTCGGTTACATAATCACCCGAGGTCCACACTCGCTTACACTCTCTATTTCAGGGCGAACCTCGTACCCATTTCCTACTTTCAATAAATAACCGTTCTCTACATTTAACGTCAATGCCCCTATTTATGACTATACGACAGTTATGAGCCCAGCTCTAACTTAGACCACTAAATCTCTATTAAAAAGTCACTTTCTGGGAGCTACGATTTACTATATCTTTTCTCACACTCAATTTCAACCCCCACCACGCTCACGAAGCCCGTTCCTGAGCGACTATGTCTTCCGAGAAGGCTTCTAAGGCGATTGGGCATAAGCTCAACCACCAACGAGACTGGCCAAAGTAGTACCTCGCTCTACAAGTAGAGGCCCGCTCGAAGGACGTCTAGGACCTGCTTAACCCAGACGACACGAAGTCACCCTCGAATCCTTCACTTTTTACTAAGTCTATTCCACCTATTAAGGAATACGTTAAGACACGAAATGCCGCCCAAGAACAAGCTCACAGAGCGGCTATGGCCGAGTACAACCGACAACTCGATTACTATACTCAGCAAGAAGCCCTGGAAGACGATTCCAGGGACGATCTAGCACAACAAGACGGCCTCGTAAAGCAGCCTTCTCTCCCTACGAGGCCTAAGCCAGTTACGGCCAACCAAGCGCGTCTTCTTAAGGAATATACCTCTTTCGTCCAGCAAACGGCATCCAAGACGATCTCTCGGTCACGAAAAGAGAAATCGTACGAGTCAATAGACCGCTGGATTACCAACTCCGTCGTCCAGGACATCCTGGAGAACGCGAAAGAAGAACTTATCGATTCGCCCGACTACTCACTTCGTACGATAATCAGAGTTCTCAAGCAAAAATACGCCCCGAGCGACTCAAGTTCGCTTACAATCGCCCGAGAGGAATTCAATGCGGTCATGAGCAGAGCAAACTCCAACGTTAATCCCACCACTTAGATCAAGGATTTCCATTCAGCCTACCGCCGTACGGTACAGCTCCAGCTACCCGAGGTCTAGGGGACTCTCACTTCCAAATCCTTCCTCCACGCGACCGCTCGCCGCTTCGCTCCAAACTGGTCCAACCAGGAGCTCACTAATATTATAAAAATGGAGCAAAAGGGCGAGGTGGTACCCGATATAGGCCATTACGCCGAGATATTCAACGACCTCCTACACGAGGAGGCAGTATACGGCAAAAGTCGTAGACGAAACCTTACAATTTTCGCAACACTGGCGGGTCGTTCAGACTCCCCTGAGCAGAGCGAGGCAAGACCTGACTCGTCCACGAACTACCCTTGCGAAAGGACCCACCGCTAGAAACCAATTGAGTGCGCAAAAGTAGAGTTCGCCCTTATTAGAAAGACGAAGTAGGAACACATTCAGCTAGACAGAACCAAAGTCAGCAGGATAATTACCCGCCTAAACACTAATAAATACACCGATCTTCGCGCCGACCTCGCCCAGAAAGGATAGATACGAGCGAGAGCCCCCAGCAGATCTAACAATAATAACCGAGGAAGAGGTAGAAGGCCAGGTAAACCGGGAAAGTCGGCAAAGAAGCAGGATTCCAAAGCGTCTTACCCCTCGAATATCGTAGCCACAATTATCGATATCGCTCTACTACCAGAGTTAAACACGACAGACAACAAGAACGCTAATCCTACCGTCTTCTCTGTCCCTTTCACGGGCCCACACCTCCTTTCTAAATATACAGTTATAGATAACTACGGCGCAGTCCACCTCGTCAATGACCAGTCGCTTCTAGAACCCGGATCAATCCGACAGTACGATAGGACCGAGAATATGGATTCTAGGACGGCGTCCTACCCTATACTCGCTCGCGGGACGAGGATTATCCGAAACGTCCTCACAGGAGCGAAGGGACCCAGAACCGAAGACTTAACCCTTCACAATATCGGCTTCGTTAAGAATTTCCACGTTAACGTCGTATCAGAAGCCCTACTTCGGAAAACGGGTATCTAGTACTCTGGTTTTGACTACACTCTTCGCTTCGGCGACCCGTCTAAGAACGTCGTAGTAAAGCAGCTCGTCAAGAAGGTCAACTTAGTCTTCCTAGAATACAAGCCCTATTCGTCCTATTCACTACCCAGAAGTCTCTCTTCGCTAGTAAACGTGATTTCTACCCGTGGTCAGCATACACCTCGTCCCTCGTATCAACTGAGGGGCAAACGAACAGATTCGGCGTAGCTCTGGCACCTTCGGTCTGGACATCTCGCGCCAGCAGCACTCGAGAAACTCGTACTAACCGCTCGGGGGGTGAGGATCAAGGGACCAAGTCGCCTAGAATGCCAATACTGTGCGACCACCCATACGAAACAGGTCATCTCAAGACGCACCTCAGAACGAAGAGCAACCAGGCCGTATTTCAGGATCGCCTAGGACCTCTTTAACTACCCACCTACATACGAACGAAGCAAGTGGCTTATACTAATTAAAGACGAGTACTCGGGCAAGATCTTCGTTTTCCCAAGAGTCATAAAGACCCACGACATGGTATTCAGGGTCTTATACCTGTTCGAGCGATGGGTACGCACCCAGAAAGGTCTTACCATTTACAAGATCCGGCAAGACATAGAACGTGCAGTAATCGCAATTAACGGCAAGACTCGCTTCCAAACCTAGGTAAAGGAGCTCGGAATCAAACTAGAGACTACCCCTCCGTACACAAAAAAGCCAAATAGAGGTGGGGAGCGAGCCGGCCAGGAAATCATAAACAAAGCGATCAGTATAATGTCTGCAGCCGGGCTACCGAACGACCTATAGGTAGAAGCTGTGTTAGCAGCAGCCTACTTATACAACATTAGCCCTAGGCAACGTACCAACTAGCTCTCGCCAGTTCAAATCGAGGAAGTCTGGTTTAGCCACTACTTTAGGTAGTGGCAACCGATAAACACGCCGAGGCTCGCCCGCAATCTACGTCCCCATTAGGGGTGGACGTACACATACGGCTGCCGGGCGTACCCTCTGAAGAGGGACCGTGAGAAAGGAATCGACAAGAGACGCTTCAAGGTAGAGCAAAGGGGGCATATCGGATACCTCGTAGGATACGTAACGAACGCCCACAACATATACAGGATCTAGATCCCCTCGCTTTCAGAGGTTATTATCACACGTAATATGACGTTCAACGAGACCGTTTTCTACTCAAAGAACGACGCGAAGGCCGCAATTCGACTACCCGAATCAAGGTCCGTGGCAGATAAAATCCAACAGCCGCTCACGACCATCGATCCTAAGCTTCAGTTACTCAGAGTCGTAGATGAGGAAGAGGCCTCGCTGATAATAAACCAAGAGCACCCATCACCACCTACGCTCGCTCCGCAGGAAGTAAACCAGACCGTAGAAAAGTCTAGCTTACTTTCGAGCGGACGAAGCGGGTAGCTGCTCACCCCCGAGCTAACTCCCAACTTCCAGAGTCCGGAACTAGGCCCGGCCCTCGCGCAGCCGACCGAGGTTATGAACGAGGCCGCAGGGGAAGCCGACCCTCTTGCAGAGAGGGTTAAGGACGTAATATACGTACAGACAGAAGAAGTGACTCCTTCGAACTCCCACGAGGAGGACTCTTCTGCCCAACTAGACCCCGATGATCCCATCCAGCCGACGAGCCCACGTCGAGAAGCAGGAGAGGTGAACGACCTAGCCGGAGATTCCGAAGCGGCCAATTCCAATGGCCGTAAGGATAATAGGTATACTAGACGAAGCCGGAGACTAAGAAATCAGTCGCCGGAGGTAGTCGCTCAAGACCCGAGTCGCAGGGAGCGATTCGGGCAGTACTCGTTCTCGCTTCGTATAGAACGAGACTAGGACGCTTTCTTTAATACGTACATACCTAATCAGCAAAAAGCGATTAACAAAGCGACCCAGGGGCATCGAACGCTCCATTACTACGTTCATACCGCAATTAGCGGAACGAAGCACGTTCCGCCGACCGCACTTCCTAGCGATAGGATACATGCGGATAACCTCATTTCCCCTCCTAGGATGTAGAAAGACGTCCTCAAAATACCCGAGCCCCTCAAAACCCACTTTGTTAAGGCTACTCGTACAAAAATCAAAAAGCTAGAGGAAATGAACACCTGGAAAGTCATTAGCCGAGCGACGGTCCAAAAGAAGCCAATACCGCTCAAATGGGTATTCAATTATAAGTTCAATAAGGACCATTACCTCGATCGCTACAAGGCAAGAATATACGTCAGGGGCGACCTCCAAGAGCAACACCCCTTAAAAAAGACGTACGCAGCTACTCTCGCCGCCAGGACTTTTAGAGTAGCGATAGCTATCGCTACCCAATTCGATTTAGAAGTCCACCAGTACGATATCGTAAATGCGTTTCTAAACGCAGTACGGAAACCAGGCGACCCTCCCATCATATGTAAGCTCCCAGACGGCTTCAAGCAGCCGGGTAAGTGTGTCAAACTCGAACGAGCCCTCTACGGTGCCCGTAACGCTCCTCTACTCTGGTACAAAGAACTCTCGGCGACTCTGAGATCCCTCGGGCTTACGCCCACGAACGAGGACCCATATCTATTTCAAACTCAAGATAAAAGGGTCCTAGTTCTCTTCTACGTAGACGACATCCTCGTATTATTCCATAAGGACCACGTCCACGAGGCCGGTCGGGTAACCGAGGGGCTCAAGAGGAAGTATGAGTTGAAGGACCAGGGACCAGTTTCGTGGTATCTGGGTATCAGAGTCGTCCAAGATCAACCGAACCAAAAGATCTATCTCGCCCATAACCAGTATATCGAGAGAGTTACTAAGAAGTTCGATCTCGTCGACGCAAAAGCACCAGTAACGCCGCTACCGACCGTACTAATTAAAAAGAACCCAGGAGTCGCATCACCGGCCGAAACCAAGTCGTTCCAAGAAAAGATAGGGTCAATCCTATATACAGCAATAATAATACGACCCGACGTCGCTTTCGCATGCGCTTTACTATCTCGGTTCCTCACGAACCCGTCTCGTCAGCACCATTCTGCCGCAAATCAAGTTATACGATACCTTTTCCATACTCGCTACCTCGCCATATGCTTCGGCATCTCGGGGGGTAGGCAGGTATTAATGATCGCAGGCGACGCTTCGTTTACAGACGACGAAGAGACCCGAAAATCCTCTCAGGGATACATAATCTCTCTTTTCGGCGGACTCGTTCAGTAGAAAGCCGCAAGGCAGAACACGGTAACGACTTCAACAACTGAGGCCGAACTACTCAGCTTAGAACACACTACTAAGGAAACACTCGCTTTAAAACGCCTTTTCAGCAATATATCGCTTAAACTCGGGGACGTCTAGAAGGTTCACTATGATAATCGTCAGACAATAAGGCTTGTAGTGGAGGAAAGGGAACGTATCTCAACTCGCCTTCGCCACGTCGATATCCAGAACATATGGCTACGTCAAGAGCACTCAAAAGGCTCATTTAAAGTAGTCTATATACCAACAAATGAGATACCAGCCGACGGTCTCACAAAGAGCCTCTCACGAGCAAAGTTCGAACACTTCGTATCGCTCTTAAACATAAGGGACACACGAGGAATGGTCACACAGAACGAGGGAACACTGGGGAGGCAGCAGAACGCCCCGGGGGGCCCGGGTTTTCAATTTATAAACGTGGCCCATAGCCAGGGAGCATAAAGGTGCTCCGGCAACCCCGTCGGGTCGCCACAAAAGGATTACTTGCCTGAGAGGGCAAGCGCGTATTCGTCCAGAAGGGACTTCAACGCAGGCACCACGTCCGCGGGGACATGAATGCCAACGAGGGTGTCGATTCCGATCCGGATACCATCAGCCTTCGCACGCAAGGCAGCCGGCACCTTCTCTTCCTCAACAAGCTCTTTCAACTAGGCCTCGAGCACAGAGAGAGCGCCCATAGACACCTCTCTTGCCAAAGCCTCGTCTACACGAGCCACCTCGTCCTTAACCTCACCCAGCAGCCC